GTATATATATATATATATATATAAGTATATATATATGTGTGTATATATATATATAAATATATATATATATATATATATATAAGTATATATATGTGTGTGTGTATATATATATATAAATATAAATATATATATAAGTATATATATGTGTGTATATATATATATATAAGTATATATATGTGTGTGTATATATATTTAGATATGATTTGGTATAAACAACTTGATCATTATGTTTTGTAATGCATTTGAATATTTTCCAATTAATTGCCTGGGAAAATGTTATTCAAATTATGTTATTTTGATAAAGGTGATGCTATTTGGTAGTGGTAGGTATATTTTGTTAGAACGAAGGAAGGAATGAATGAATGAATGAGTGAGTGAATGAATGAATGAATGAATGAATGAATGAATGAAGGAATGAATGAATGATACACACATACATACATACACGCATACATACCTACCTCCATACATACAAACACGCTTACATACATACATACAATATTTTATATACATACATGCATGCATGCATGCATGTATGTATATATACATATATACATACATACGTATATAACAACAAAGAATACATTCAACAGTTACACGTAAGTTTTGTAGAAGAAAAATTTAGTTGACTGTTTTTGTTGAGAGTTAAAACAAATAAGTTGAATGATTTATCGTAGATTAATTAATAATTTATTAAACACATGCACGTCTATGTGTGACATTAAAGTTCAGTCATTAATTTTATTTTTTTTCACCATTGTTTTAATTTGATTTTATCTCCGAGTAAGTTGACCTTTTTAAAATTTACCCCTTTATTTACCCCTTTATTTCTAGTAAACATGCTAGGTGTAACGTGATAGAGAATTTTTAATGCGTGACTAGCATGGGTAGGCCCTAGAAGAACGGGCGTTAGGAGGGCCTTTGCAAGGGGGTTCCTCCCCAATACGCGACTGAAGGGTTCTTTAAAAGTGTATCATTCTCAATGTGCCTGCAATGTAGATATGTAAACTTGCAACTTGTGATGTCATGGGGCATTTGTTTGGCGATATTTGAAGAAGTGCACTGCTCGTTGATGATGTTTCTTAATGAAATAAACAAAAAAATTTTTAATTTCAGGTTTTATTTGTAGCGCTCAATTATTCCTGGACTGATTGATGCTTGGAAATGAGAGCAGCGTCTTCGTCGTCATCTCCTCAAATGCCATCATCGGCTATGATTAAAACAACAACTGCTACCACCACCACCACCACCACCACCACCACCACCACTACTACAAAGAACAACAACAAAAGTTGTGATGATGATGGTGTTGACAATAAAAAGTCGTCTAAACCATCTTTGAAATGGAAGAAAAAAGTGAAAGTTTCGAAACCGCCCAGTACCGCTCCGATACTTGAATCGTCGGATAACGAGGTAACATCGTCGACTACCGCTACCGATATTGTAAATGTAATGGCGAAAACTGATTTAAACTCCGACTTACCGATCATTCATGGCATCTCGAAGAGGTCCTCCTCAACTTCTAATTTAAAAAAAATTAAAAACTTTTTTGCTTTTTCAAAGCCAAAATCGGTTAAGATGAAATCGGTAGTTGACAAAATAGCCGACAGATCGGTGTGTAGTAACAACACTACTCTTGTTAAAAACAACAGCAGCCTTAGCCACAGCAGTTTTAGTAGTAGTAGTGGTGGTGGTAGCAAGAAAGAAAAATTAAACCGTAGTTGCGGATTCCACAGTAGCGGTCCAACCATCATAAACGTCAACACTCGAAATGCAAATCATTCAATGGTAACACTGATCGAGGCGAATAATGTTAGACCGACTTTGACCGATCCGAATATTCAGTCCCAATCCTGTCGGAGGAATAAACTCGTACCGAATATTTCTAAAGGTTTAAAGGTCGACAAGTCATTCTCGAAACAAAATACCGACTTGACATCTCTGAATAAGTGTGCCAGCATTTGTAGAAGTAGTAACGCCAAAGAGCATAACAGAGATGGGCGCGTTGCGATGAATCTGTCGGTAAATTATTCGTCGGATAAGAAGAAAAAGAAGTCGGCGAGTGTCGATCGATTGTTTCGCGATAAGAGTAACATCAACTCCGGCGAATATGACGATGATGATTGCTACTACGACTCGAACGACGATGAAGACAGTTATGATAGTGATTGTTCATGCTCGTCTTGCGAGGAAAATTATAATCGACTCAATAATTATAATTATAATTGTAATTATAATTATTATGATAATTTTGGTCGCAAACGTTTGGAGAGTTACGGCCGGCGACATTTTATATATTACCGTGGTAATAACAATTTCGATGGTTATAACGATGATGGCGGTGGATCTCTTAAGAAACGTTGCCATTTTGTTGAAAACCATTTACAGCAACATCAACAACGACATGATCCGCAACAAAAGCAGCTTCAGCAGCGACTTCAACAGCCACAGCAGCAAGGACTACAGAATCGACCGCATACGCAACAACACCATCAAATGCATCAGATACCTCAAGCATATCAGCAACAACATCTGCAACGGTATCAGCAACGGTATCAGCAACAGTATAAGCAACAGTACCAGCGACAACCTCAACAAAATCAAAACTTCGATATAACGGGTAGTAAAGAATGGACCATAAATCATCAGCTGCAACAACATCGTTATAACCGAACGTATCATTCCAGTCACAACAACATCAACAACGTTAAAAACAACAACAACAACAACAATAATAATAATAATAAGTATAATTGTGATGGTGAAGACGTTAACGATCAAAATGATGTTCTTGATGAATTTAAACAGTTTAAGAGATGCCAGAGCGAAAGTAAGCTGTACAACAACATCAACAACAACATCAACAACAACAACAACATCAACATCAACAACAACAACAACATCAACAGCAACAACAACAACAGCATCAACATATCCAGCAACATTAGCAGCAGCAGCAGCAATGTCATCGACTGCAACATCGTCACTGTCATCGTCTGATAATTTTTCATCTTCTTTCTCTACTGCAAAAGACTCAACACCGCCAAAAACGACAACATCATCATCAACATCTCCTCCATCATCATCATCATCATTATCAACAAAATCATCATCAACATCACCTCTATCATCATCATTATCATCATCATTAGCAACAAATAAAACATCGTTACTGTCCTCAACAAGCGTATCAACAACAAAAGCCCTGGAGCACATCTTCCAACTTGTGGACGCCTTGTCGCTGGCCAAAGACAACCTGACCGCTGACACATCGGAGAGCACAAATTCGTATAAAATTTTTGACAAAGCAGTTGTGGCCGCACAATTCCCAGAGAGATCAAGTTCGCCCCACTTTCCAATTTCACCGGTTTTCGCGGCTTCTTCGCCTAAAAATCGCGTCGGTACAGGTTCTCCGAGTTGGCACGCCGAGCCACCGCCATCTTACTCGCCACCTTCGCAAAATTTCTCGTCACATTTCCTGCCGAACTGCAGCGAGCAGCTTGCAGACGAAGCTTTCAACGTCGACGAAGAGGAGATTCTGCGGCGGAGAGAACGAGTTTGGTCGAGATCGAAGAGACCTACCGTAACTAACGTATCTGATATCGTCGAAAATGACGTCACCTTCAATAAAGTGCTGGACGAGAGTGTCCTTGCTGAAAATACGGACGAAGTTTTTGGGGCCGAAAACGTCGCAGCTACTGGTGAAATTGCTTCCAGGGGCAAAATTATTACCCACAAGTATGGGAGTAAATATGGAAAGAAATTTTTTTCTGAGGTAAGTTGCCATTCAGAATCTGCAACATCCTCGTCTGCTGAAATTGTTGACGTAATTGACATCAACAACAACAACAAAAATAACAACAATAAAAACATTAACAACATTAACAACAACAACAACAACTCAACAAAAGACGGCTGGCCACCACAGAGTAACACCTGCTTCAATATCGACGCTCATAGAAAAATTTTTAGTGATAAAAACATCAACAACAACATCAAAAACAACAACAACAACAACAACATCAACAACAACATCAACAACAACATCAACAACATCAACAACAACAACATCAACAACAACATCAACAACATCAACAACAACAACATCAACAACAACATTAACAACAACATCAACAACAACATCAACAACAACATCAACAACAACATCAACAACATCAGCAACAACAACATCAACAACAACATCAACAACATCAACAACAACAACATCAACAACAACAATAACATCAACAACAACAACAATAACATCAACAACAGCAACATCTATCCAGAAAGACAATTTTTCGAAGACATCAACACATCACGGACCGCCTCTGACGATGAGACGTTCTCCGTAACCTACATTGATCAGAATGAATGAAGCGATGGATCTTGACCATTTTATTATTATTTATAATTATTTATTATTATTTATAATTATTTATTATTATTTATAATTATTTATTATTATTATTTATCTCTTGATATGGTGTAGATAATTTTATGTTTAAAGATGAAGAATGGATGACTGTTTAGCTTGATTAGTTATTTATTTACGTCTTTGTTCAATGACTTAAATATAATATATGTGTAATAATAATTTATAATTCGCGGTAGAATTCATAATTATCTATCGGAATATATTAATTATAAATGAATTATAGTGATAATAATAATAAAATAATTATATAAATTCGTTGATTAATTTTTTGTTGTGCTATTTTTATACAAACGCCTTGCAATTACTTAGTCATAAGCGAACGAACGAATGAACAGACGAACGAACGAACGAACGAACGAACATACGAAAGCACGAACGAACGAAAGAACGAACGAACGAAAGAATAAATAAATAAATAGCAGAATAATATCCACAAATTTTGTTCAATTTTATAATTTTTTGGCAAGCCAAGAAAAACGAAACACAATTTTTTCTCTGATATTAGGAAGAGAATAATTAATCATTTCCAAATGTGAAAAAATATAACATAAGTGGATGAACATGCGAATACAAATATGGATAGATAGATAGATATGTGGCAAAAATTGCAAAAAATTTGTCTCTGCGAATAATGATGATGAATCATAAAAAATCGAAAGCAAATTTGAAAGTTCTTAAACGAAAAATAGATTTTACGGTACTTATTAGTATTCATTCTTATGGTAGCATTATATAAGTAGCAATAGTAACAAAAGCTGTAGTAGTAGTATTAACAGAAGTTGTAGTAGGAGCAGTAGTAACTTAATTGATGGGAGGGATTGAAATAGTGTTGTTAGTACAATATTAAAAGTTAGAAATCGGATTCAATGTACAATATACACGTGAGACTCATTCATGTCGTTATGAAATGAAGCCGCATGGACATCTTGTACGTTGAACGATCAATAATATTCAAGGAAAAACAATTTAAAACAAAGAAGAAAACTTTAAATTGAAAAATAAAATTAGTATTTTTTTTATCTTCTTAACAAAAAAATTACATTAGCGGGATGAGATCAGACTATATATCTATCTATATCTAACTATCATCAAAGTAGGAGCAAGGAGAAGTTGTCTGTGGGCATTCGTCAGTATCGGCGGCTGGAAGACACTTGAGATACGCTTCTTTTATACATTGTCTTGTCGCCAACGCCGTATCCGCCGCTACCATAGCCACCACCACCTGAACCACCGCGGCTCGATGTTGTAATGGACTTCCTTACTACACTGGTGTATGGAGAGATGCCTTGCGATGATGATAGCGAGTTGGAGGTTAGAGATACCGACGTGTGGTGGCCTGGTCTGGGCGGCAGGTTAGAAATGTTTATTGAGGATCTGTTAGAGCCAGCAGTGCTGCTGCTGTAGCCTGATCTGTATCTGCTAGTGCTGGTCGTGTAGTCGTCAGTGTCTACGTCGTTCATATATCTGACTTTGATCTTGAAGTCGTTCGTTGTGTCGGAGGTGGGAACCATCGAACCGGCTCTCCTCGATCGTTCGTTGTAGCCTATTTTTGAGTAGCTGCTTTCGTAGCCACCACTTGGATATCTGCTGCTAGCTGCTCCTGTTGTTGCTGATGTTATGTGCGGTCGTTCGTCAGCGAAGCTGCTGTAGGCGTGTCCTCCGTAGATGACGTTGCTGGTCGACACTGGCACGCTGCCTATCTTGAAGTCTGAATCCGGTTTGATGTCCACTTTTTCTGAAAATTTAAAGCAGAAATAGACATTTATTTTTGCATATAATTCAACAAATTTTTTTGTTAAAATAAAATTGAGACTTAACATACTGTTGACGCTGATCTTGCAGAATGTCTCGGCACTACCCAGCTCGTTTTCTGCCACGCAACTGAACTTGCCGGCGTCTGAAACGTCGCAGGAAGCCACCTCCAGCGTGCAGACGCCGACCGATGTGTCGATGTTGTACTTGCCTCCCACGTGCAGAGCCTTCCCATCCTTGTACCAGGTCGCCTGCAGCCAACAGTCGTAGCAAATTGATTTCAATTCTATGAATTGTTAATAACAAAATCATTCTATCTAAAAATAGCAGCACCGACCTTGGCAGTGGGGTTGGCGTCCACAGTGGCGATCAATTTGAATGCGACACCTTCCTGCAGGAAGCGATCGCGAAGGTGGAACAAGAAGCTCGGAGCCTTCTTCTTCTCCTGGAACTTTTCGAAGTTGTCTTCTACCGGTTTCCTACAACCAAAAATAAATATCAATTTCGTTTGATCGTTTCATCACCACGAGGGCACTTATAATAATTCAAGAAAATTAATATTCATGATAGTGAAAGTAGCAGACTTTTTGTAGGCAGATGTCGGTTCGACGCTGTATGCCCTCTGAATTGGCTGCGGTGGGCCTTCTGCTCAATATTTTTTGGGGAGACATTATTAGAGAAGCCAGATGGAAAGAACAAAATCAATCAAACAGCAGTAATTAAAATTAAAAATAACTTAACAACCAATCAAAATCAACAATCCCATCATCAGCAACCAATCAGAGAGTGAGTGAACTAACGCTCGACAGTTAGGTTGGCACATTCCTCGCGACTTCCGTACGAGTTGACAGCCTTAACGACGTACGTCCCTCTGTCTTCAAGCTTGCAACGACCAACCCTCAGCTCGTAATCCGTTCCGAAGTATTTCGGCATGAATTTCAAGCCCGGGTTCAACGCTTGGCCTTTGAAATACCTTTCAAATTGAAACAATTTCGTTGACATTTTAATGAACAAATCAAATAATCAACATATCAATTAACTTTTATCAATCAATTAAACGATCAACTAAACAAATAGTTTTGCCAAATCAAATACTCAATTACTCAGAACTAACAGCAACCAATAATAAAGCAAATTTAAAATCAACCAACCAAGTGATAAGAGGGGTAGAGCCAGCCATAACCTTACATTTGAAACTACCGACACCACCTTCTTGCACGTAGCAATGGCGAGGTTTGATGACGAATCGAGGCATAGCTTCCTTGCGATCTGACGAGCAAAAGATTATTTGTAAGATAGTCATCGACAGTATGTAGTAGCAGTAGTAGCGACAAACAATTTTTCATCGTAAATCAAAATACTAACCAAAATAATTATCGTAGATTTGATATTCACGAGGTCTTTGCCCTCTGAGGGAACTGTAGTTGGCGATCCGACCAATGGCAGGCATTGGAGTTCCCCAATCGCTCTATTTTTAGATTTGTTACTATTTTTAAATTTACTGCAATTTTTAGAAAATGTTCCCATTTAAAATGTTTGCCACTATATTTAAATTATTTAAACCTTTAAAAAAATTACAGTTTTTATGCGCAATGCTAACTTCTCTCCAAAAACTTACGTATTTTCCACCAATTTTTTGCCTGATTTTGCTGAACCTGGAACCAGGAATACGATGGGTGTAGTCCGGGTGGGGCTGTGACAACCAGGGATGCTCCAAAGCTTCGTGCACTGTCATTCGCTTTCTGGAAAGTTGTCAGCAGTTGGTTGGTTGGATTATTATCAAAAAGTTGTTATGGGTACCAAAAATTTGGTAAACATTGCTTTGATTGGTTAATATAAATTAATGTTAAATCTTACATTATATTTATGAAACTTTCAAAATTTTAAAAATAATCTCTAATATGAAAACAAACTGTGGTGATTTGATGAGAAGTTTGCTGATGAAATCCCTGCCAAGGTCAGAAATTCCACTGAATGCTTCCGAATCGAAATCCCACTTGCCGCTTCTGACGTTGTTAAGCGTTTCGCTGTCTGTTGAGCCGCCGAATGGCGACAAGCCACTCAATCTTTCAATGTTCAAATTAAATAAGTTGTGGCGATGTCTCAAGATTTCAAAAATTATATCATACGATTCTCTCTTTACAAAAAGATTTCTGACCAATTTTTATGAAAATCTTGATTGAAATTTTATTAAAAAGTGAAACCCATACTAACAGAACATATGTCAGCACACCGACAGACCACATGTCGGTGTAAAATCCGACCGGTTCGTGATCCACGATTTCCGGAGCAGCAAAATCGGCGCTTGCAGTCGATACTTTGACGGCCACATCAGGATCTAATCGAGCCGACAAACCGAAATCGATTAATTTAACATCCCTACTTTTGCGTGTAGGGCAGAGGAGGTTCTCCGGCTGACAATGAATGTTAATAACATTTTATAGAAATTCTGTGAAAATTCTGTAGAAATTCTGAATGAAGATACACACACAAGTACACGCACGTACACACCTTGATATCGAGGTGTACAATATTTTTATCGTGCATAAACTTGAGGCCATCGCATATTTGTTTCACGTAATTGATCACATCTGCTTCGGTCAGCTTGGAATCGTCGTCAGATATCTGGTCGAATAATTCTCCGCCGGATAAACTGTTGGAAAAATTTTTATTCAAAATTTAACAGTTCTGGAAAATTTGTCATTTAACATTTAATTCGCAAGCTTTTGAAAAAATTTCACTCACTATTCAAAGACCATAGCCATTTCTTTCGGCTCTTCGTATGCATCGTGCAAGTTTAACAATCTGTATGTAGCATAAATATATACATACATCTATTTATTTATTTATGAATGAACTGATTGATTGAATGAATAAATGAATGAACGACAGAAAAATAAAGAAATGAACCTCGGATGTCTGAGATCATTTAAGATGGAGATTTCGTTTTTGACGGTCTGCTTGTCGGCGGGCAGCGGCGTATTGACGAACTTCACCACGTAATTATCACCCGTTGACTTCTCAACTGCCCTGTGGACGCGCCCGAACGCCCCACTGAGTGTTGATGAAAGTGATGACGTAATAATAATAACAACAATTATAATAATTATAAAAATTATAATTGTCGCCATATTAGTTCTACTTTCCAGCTAACCAACCTCCCGATTTCCTCACAGACGTCGTAGTTGTCGTAGACGCTGCTGCCACTCTTAACGTCCACAGATTGCGGTTTGTTGTTGTCCCAAATATTGTGGTCTGAGTGAATGAATAAGTGAATGAATGAATGGGTGAATTAAAAAATAAAAGAGTAAACAAAAGATTGAATGAGCATTGAATATTAACGTACATAATCGATCGTAGTTGTCTGGCTTGGGACCGGTGTATTTCTTCTTCTTGTTTTCGTCTGACAATGGGGGAGGGAAAAAATGTAACTTTCACCATCATCATCACACTCTCATCATCATCATCATCACCATCATCATCACCATCATCATCGTCATCATCACCTTCTGGGGCCAGTCCTTTCCTCTGTCGACCTTCCTGCTCAGAAACAGTCTTCAGCGTGACCGGCTCACTCGGCTGACTCCTCCCGTAGAGATTCTCGGCGATGACCCTGAATTCGTAGTTGTGGCTCGGAGACAAGCCCTCGATGCATGCAAATGCAAACCTTTTGAAAATTATAACACAAGTAGAAAATGAAAAATTGAATGAGCGAATGAATGAGTGGATGAATGAATGAACGAGTGATTGAACAAACAATTAACGACAAAAAATAGGTCAAACCTAGTGGGGGCACACCTGACCCAGTTACTCATGCCCTCCTCCCTCTTCTCAACAATGTACTGCGTGATAAAACCTCCGCCATCGTTCAGCGGTGGTTTCCACGACAACATGACGCTGTCGTGGTAGAGGTTGTCCACGTTCAGCAATTTCGGTGGGTCGGGTACATCTGTGGCAATAATGATGATGAGGATGATGAGAATGAGAGTAGGAAGTTTAAACACAGCGTGAGAAGCACGTGCACCAACCATTGACTGCGATTTTAATGATGGCGGAATCACTCCCGAGATCGTTCTCGAGAGAAAGTCTGTACTCGCCATTATCGCTTCGGTCAGATTTCTGCACGGTCAGTATGGCGTGCCTCTCCTTCAATTCGATATTGTACTTGCTGCTCTCTTCAATATCTAACGTGTTTTTGTACCACCTGGCTTTCGGCCTGGGAAAGCCAGTGAATGGCAACTTGATCACCACGTCCTCACCCTTTTCGAACTGCGCCACATCCATGAACCTCGGTGGTACGTTTATTTTTGGCGGACCTGCGCGGTGGAGCAAGTTATTGTTCCTTACGATAACATTGCATGCATAGTTTTGTATGAAATAACTTTTAAAAAGAGATCATAAATATGCAACGAACGACGCATCGAAGACCAACTTTTTATCGTCAAATCAGCCCTGGATGACCTCGAGCCTGCAGAGGTGGTGGCCTTGACACAATACTCGTCTGCATCTTCGCCGAACGCATCTCTGATGTGCAGAGCAAACACGTCGCCCTCCTTCGAAGTTTCATACTTGGCGCTGTCAAACAATTCTCTGGAGCCCTTGTACCTGGGGTGGGAAGTGTGCGAACAACATTGGAACAGTTCATTGGCAAGCAGGTAGTCCTCGCGTGAATGAAGGGAATGCATTGTCAGAAAGCAGTGTTGCAAAGCATTTAGAGTATTTTAAAACTTGAAAAGCTTTGAATTACTCAACATTCAAGTATTTTAACAATACTGTAAGAAAGCAAAATTTGTTTACCATGTTACTTCCAAGTTTGGCTGTCCAATTATTGTAGCTTCAAATCTGGCTGTTTTTCCTGGAGATTCATGCGAATTAATAGGCAATAAATAAATTTTACTTAATAAAAAATAGTATAAAAAATGTATATAAGCAACGTAGAAAGAAAATGCCCACCTTGCATGCACGTGACAGGCTTCAGTCCGGACAAAATTTCAGGAACCTTAGCAGCTTTCGGATCGGTTACTTTGATTCTCCGGCCGGTTTCAGCAGGTTTGCTCTCGCCTGCCTCGTTCACTGCAAATATTCTGAAATCGTATTCTCTGTCCTCAATCAACCCACTCACGTTGAAAACATTGGCAGGGTTGGGGACCTGGTTAACTCGCACCCAATTTTCTGACGTTGATTCTTTCTTCTCGACAAAATATCCCAGAAGTTTACCTCCCCCATCGCTGCGAGGTCGTTCCCATGACAACGAGACAAAATCTCCACCGACTTCCTGAGCCTCTGGTTCGCCTGGTGGTCCGGGTGGGTCAAAGGGCATCTTGGCAACAATGGGGTTAGGGGCTTCCAACCATTCTCCGTTGCCGTGAGCATTGGTGGCGCAGACTCTGAACAAATATTCCTTGTTCTCTACCAGGCCTTGCACGTCTATTTCTAAATCCTGCGATGAAATCCAAATCATTAATTAAGCCTTGAAATATTTAAACGAATACGTACACTGAAAATAAAATGTTATTGGTAACAAAAAATTAATATAAAATAATTATTAGACAAACTCTGGTGTGAGTAGAAACAGTGGTCCAGTAGGGCTTTCCACTCTCCCTTCTCTCGATGCAATAGTGGGTAATCTTAGAGCCGCCATCGTCTTCGGGTGCCTTCCACCTCAAGTGGCAGGCGTTCTTCGTTATTTCTGAGACTTGCAGGGGAGCTATGCAGATGCCAGGCGGTGCTGTTCCATCGGCGGTTGTGGTGGTGGAATAACATTCATTAAATTACAATTCGTATGAAAGCCGGTTTGAATTAAATTCAATTGAAAACTTCATTTTACCTTTGACCTTTACGGGTATATCTACTGAACCTTTGCCGCTGTCGTTTGAAATTTCTAGTTTATATTTTCCAGTGTCACCTTTCTCTGCGTCTGACGTTGAAATGTTTCAAAGGTTCAGGTCATATAGAAATGTTTCAACAGTTAAATTCACGTACATAGATGTGTGTGGTGGTTTTCCCTCAACGTTATCATAATTGTCTTAAAAATATCTAAAACACCCGACTAGATACATCAGCGTACCTCTTATCTGCAGCACGACGTATCCATCGTAGGGTATAATCTTAACACGATCATGGCCGTCGGGTATTTCTTTGTTATCTCTGCGCAACTTGTACGAGAAGGGACCGGTTCCGTGGAAGGGAATTTTCAGTTTGAAGGTGTCACCCTTGTCCACCGACTGCTCCCTGATGTCCCCGTCAATCTTTGGCGGAGCTGGTTCGGTATTTTTTTTGTTTTATTAACTGTTGCACATTACTGAAAAAAGAAGAACTTATAATAACTCCATTGAGTTTTTATGTTTATTGGTCATTAACTTATTAATTTATTCATTCATCCGTTCAGACCATCTTTTACTCACTCATTTCTTTCTTTCATCTAGTCACCCAAACGACATTTTTATAATTTTCCAATTATTATCCAATTAACATTAACGTACACGGGCATAAGCACCACATAAAGCGCCCGCCCCATAACATCTCACGCGAACCAACTTTGAACGATGAGGCGAGCAGTAGCACTATCCTTTCCTTTGGGATTTGATATCTCGCACGTGATGTCGCCAGCGTCGTCAGGATGGACATTTTTCACGATCAGCTGAACTTTTCCATCGTCCTCAACAATGCGATACTTCGCGCCTGGTTTCAACTCAAAACCGTCTTTAAACCTGGTTTCGAATGAATAATTTGGTTATTCAAGCATTCAAGTTAGTCTCTTCAGAATTTTTTTCAGATTACAAGTCTTCAAGACGTTACTCTAAATTCAGTTGTTGACATGCGAATGGCAATACAATTTGAGACTTGAAAAAATGAACAAATAGCATTTTATTTATATATTATAAATAAATGAACAAACTAAACAAGCGTTTGAAAAAAATTAATGGAAAACTAAAAAAATAAGTTACCATTTAACTTTCGGGAAAGGTTCTCCATCGACCACAACTTGGAATTTAGCATCTTCATCCAACGGCGTCGTTGAATCAGCTGGTCTTTGCAAGAATTCTGGTAATCTTTCAGCTGATATTTTGATTTTGAAAGATAAATATTAATTCTTAACAGTTGCATTGATAAGTGTATGCCTTGCATTATTAAGAGCTATTGAATTAATAGTACGAAAAAAAGTTGTAACCTTTTCTTTCGCAAACTTTGACGGGAGCCGTGTTAAGACTGAAGTCTCCAGGACCAACCTCTGTTACGGCAGCCACCCTGAACTCATACTCCTTACCCTCGTCCAAATCTGGAATGTGAATCTTCTCACCTTCAATCGGTATGTGATTCACCTATTGTTAAGGAAGAAAATTGTTGTAAATGAAAGCTTTAAAATAATATTTCGGTATTAAGTATGATTGATATTTTGTAATAAAATTTTTTAAAAAAGTTGATGAAAATGGAAAATTAGCAAATAACTAAAATGAACAATAACAAACCTTCTCCCAGCTTCCACCGGGTAGCCTCTTCTCGACTTGGTAGCCCCGTATGGGACTGCCACCATCTGAACGCGGTTTCGTCCAGCTCAAATCAACGCTGTTTTTCGTTACTTTGTCGACAGATGGCAGACCGGGTGGTGATGCTTTGGCTTGAAATTTAAAAATTGAAATTATTTAAATGTTTATACCGAAAATTTTTTGTTTTTTTTTTAGGATTGAGTGTGAAACGTTACAGCGAAGACTTACATGCTTTCGATCTAGGTGTGACCGTTTGCGACGGACTGCTTGGATCGCCTAGACCCGCCAAATTTTTGGCTCTAACTCTGAATTCGTACTCTTTACCTTTCTCCAGATCTCCAACTAAAAATACAAATTTTTAAAACATGATTAACTCGCAGATATAATATAATACCAAGCGGCATAAAAACATCAAACCAGTGAATCGATTGTCCTTGCAGGGATTCTTCTCATTGACTGGCTTCCACTTATCTGATCCCTTCTCTCTAACTTCTACGACGTACCCTGAAACTCTGTTTCCTCCATCGTCCATTGGTCGGGCCCAGGAAAGGGTCACGGAGTCCTCGTCTACATCTTCAACTTTCGGTGTGCCAGTTTTTCCTGGCTTCTCTGCGTAATATGGAAAAATTATATAGCTTAGAAAGCCTATAATGAAAAATGAAACGACAGATTTCCACGAAACAAACAAAACACTGACAACTAACCAAATTGATGCTTAGCGACAATTGGCTTGTCAGTAACGAGTGGTTCGCCCTGGCCAAGTTCATTGACAGCCGACACCCTGAACTCATAAGTCTCACCCTCATCGAGGTCACCCACTTCAAAACCTGTTCCTTTGCAATATCTGCTCACCGGCGTCCACTTTCCAGATGTTTTGTCCTTCTTCTCAATGAAGTAGTGGGTCACTGGTCGACCACCATCGTGCTATTTTTTTGATTTATCAATTAAAATCGATATATAGATTTTCTAAAAATAAAGTAATTGTGCTTACTAATATAAAATAAAAAATATTGTTCTGTCATAAAAGTTTAAACAGAGTAAGAATTAAAAGTATGGACAAACAGTTGGCGGATCCCAGCTAAGATAACAGGATTCTGGAGTTATTTTTGAAACTTTCAAGGGGCCCTCGGGTGGACCAGGTTTGCCGATAACGTTGACATTAATGTGGGCTGTGTCAGTTCCTTTCGGGTTTTTAAGAGTGATGGAGTAACGTCCTTGGTCATCTTTTTTAGCTGCCCTGCAAGTCAAGGTCACTTCGCCGTCGCCAATTTCTACTTTCATGCGGTCGTCTTCTAAAATTTCTTTTGACCCCTAAAGCAATTTTTTTTTTCTGAATTATTATGATCGTAATTATTTAATAAATTATTATAATTAGTAGTAATAAAAACTTTCTCACGTTGAACCACTGAGCGGTGGGTACGGGACTTCCCTTGAATGGAATTTTTATTTTGAATGGTTCTCCCTCAGTGGCGTAGATCTCTCCAGGCAGTCCATCCAGTTGTATTTTCGGAGCAGCTACGAAATGTGTTCATTTCCATTGTTTTATAATTTTGACTTAGAAAAACTTTTAAAATTTAAAATTTACAATTAGTAAGATAACAAAACAATATAAATGAAGCGAATCGTAATTAGAAAACATACAGCTAAATGTTTATAATAAAATAAAATTACTCACTAGCTGGCGCCTGAGGCTTGATGGCTTTGTCGCATTCAGCGAAGGCGCCGACGCCGGCTTCATTGACTGCTGCTACTCTGAATTCGTAAGGTTTGCCTTCGATGAGGTTCTTAACGGTGAAGGTCGTATCGTCGATGTCGTGAGGAGACACTCGGCTCCACCTCTTTGACCCCGCCTCCCTCTTCTCAAGGACGTAACCTTTGATGGGTCTGCCTCCATCTTTAAACGGTGGCTCCCAGCTCAGTGTTATTGAATCTTCAGTGGTACCTACAGCTTCTGGGGCACCTGGTTTTCCAGGAACGTCTGAAAAATAAAAAAATTGATGTTTTCATAGGAAACATAACGGTTAATGTTACAGCATAACGTTAATAGGAGTAAGTAAAAAAATTCGAGCTAACTGAACGGATATTTGGCGACGATTGGTTCCGTAGTAACCAGAGGATCACTTTCTCCATTCTCATTGACGGCCATCACCCTGAACTCATACTCCTCTCCTGGTTCCAAATTTTTGGCGGTTGCCTGCGTATCGTTGGGTCCGATCGTTCCTGGCACCTTTGTCCAGCGGTTGGAACCTTTAGGTTTCTTTTCGAGGACGTATTTCTGAATTTTGGCACCTCCGTTATCTTTTGGTGGTTTCCATTCTAAAGTGATTTCGGTGGGCTTGGTATCGGTTGCTTCTAATGGTCCTTCGGGTGCTGCCGGTTTATCTGTTATTGATGACAATTTGAAATTTATATTAATGAGCATTTTTATAAATAACTTTTTTATCTAAAATTTAGAAAATATTTTTAAAATTTCAATTTTCCAACCTAGAACAGTAACATTGACAACACAATCCGCGGTCCCAGATGGGTTTTTGAGATGAAGTTTGTAAGGGCCGGTGTCAGCTCTGGATGCATCTTTTATCGAAAGATACACAAAATCTGGTGTGGTCTGTTTGAAACATTATAAACAAATGAATAAATTTTACATTCATGAACATTTTAAAATTTGATTTTTTGTTATTTTATTAAAGATTTAAAAAATTACAAACCTCCATTTTAACTCTTCCTCCATTAATAATCGGTTCATCTCCCAGTTGCCAAGAAGCAGTTGGGAGGGGCCAACCCTTTATGGGAACTGCTATTTTGATCTCCTGGCCCGCCTTTACTGTTATGTCCTTTATGCCGTTCAAATCTATGCTTGGCTTTTCTGGTTTAAATAAGGGATTTCATCGATTAAATGAACTCGATTTAGTATTTACATGAAAAAAGAGAAAATAATAAAGGTACAAACCAGCAGGTTTCTCGGCAACAACGGGTCCAGTGGGGGCACTGGGAGTCCCTGGACCCGCCTCGTTGACAGCCTTCACCCTGAACTGATATGTTTCTCCTTCCTTTAAGTGGGGTACTTTGAATTTGTTATCTTTTACAAGTGGAGAAACTTCTTTCCACTCGCCATCTTTGTCCTTCATCTCAACAATATAGCCATCAATTTTTCCGTTTCCTGTATCCAGCGGTTTGTCCCAGGAAAGTGTTGCAGAGTTTGGTGAAATTTCGTCAACGCGTGGTGTTCCTGGAGCTCCAGCCGCAACTGAATTGATAAAAATGTATTTCGAAAATACTTCAAAAATTTTTTTTCATTTTCCCCATGATAGATACTCACAGACTTGGTCCCTGACTCTGTGAGGCCCAGTCGACTTGCTTGGCTTGCCGGGACCAGCGTCGTTGACAGCCACCACTCTGAACTCCCACTCACTTCCTTCCGTCAAGTTTGGTACTGTGAATGTAGTGCCGGCTGTCGGCGTAGAATTGACAGGCGTCCAATCTCCGCGTCCTTTTGCCGGGCACTTCTCGATGATGTAGCCTGGCAAAAGAAAATTTGAGTATAGTTTGTAGCCAGTAAATGTTACAACATTTGTTATACACTTACTAACAATATTTCACCTTCAATTAAAATGTTACTATAATAATATTTATTTCGAAGACGACAATAACAGCGGCGTAGATCTGGCACAAAAAACCTCACAGACCTTCAATTGGATTGCCGCCATCATCATTTGGAGCTTTCCAAGCCAACGTCACAGAATTTCTGTCATATTTCGTTATTAATGGATCTTTTGGTTCGCCTGGTGGGTCTGTGATACATTAATTTGGGGTAAGTTAATTTGTGAGATGACCGAAGAAAACGTGCAAAATGACATACCGTAGGGATTCTTAGCAAGAATCCATTTATTTGTTTCAACTGGTTCTCCCAGGCCAAGTTTGTTTTGAGCCTTTACTCTAAATTTATATTTCTTGCCTGGCTCCAGTCCTCGGACAACGTGTGACTCACCGCTGACAACTCCTGGAACTTTCTCCCACACTGAAGAACCTTCCTCACATTTTTCTACCACATAACCTAATATCGAGGTGTTGAATATTTTTGTTTAAGGATTCAAAAAATATTTTCACGACACGAACTTTTGTTAATATAAACTCGGAGAAGTACACAAAAAATATTTGACCTGTGATATCAGCTCCGCCATTATCAGAAGGTGGCAGCCACGACAACTTGCAGTGGTCTGCGTGGATATCCGTGGCTTGAAGGTTCTCTGGGGACGAGGGAGCGTCTACAAAGTTTGAAAACAGATGTTGATGCCAGATTAGAGTTTATAAAACGTGCGATGTCAAACTTTTAAAAACATTTGTTGGTGTACAAATTTCCGATAACAAAATTTTACAAATTGTATTCGAGTTTAAACATTCATAGAACGAGTTGTTCAATAAAATCATACATTAAAAAAAATGAAACTAACGTTTAGGTTTTTCGGCTTTGACGGGAGGCGTGGCTAAACTAAAATCGCCAGTGCCGGCATCAGTGATGGCGGCCACTCTGAATTCGTAAGTCTCACCTTCATTCAAATCCGAAACTGTTGCCTGTTCGCCGAAAATAGGAGTGTCCGAAGCAGATTCCCAATCTCCTCCCGGTGTACGCTTCTCTATTTTGTAGCCTGTGTGTTTGTGTTTGTTTGTGTGTTTGTGTTTGTTTGTGTGTATTTGTGTGTTTGTGCATTTCTGTATGAGTGGGCGTCCGTGTATGCATATGTACGTTAATAAATCAATTTTTGCAGCGTGCCCACCTTTGATTGGACTTCCACCATCATGGAGGGGCTTGGTCCAGCTGAGGTCGATTGCGTGAGGGCCCACCTTGTCCACCTTTACTGATCCGGGTGGCGAGGCTTTGGCTAGGAATAGATACATGAATGATGAATAAATAAGAAAATTGATGAATAAAAATTTTCAAGCGGCTTACTTGGTTTCGCTTTAGGTTGGACAGCTTTGCTCGGAGAACTCGGCTCACCAAGCCCTGCGTCATTCTTGGCCACCACTCTGAATTCATACTCTTTATCGGGGTCCAAGCCGTCAGCTGTGGAATCATCATTATAATATAAACATAAGTCATAGTTATTCACGGACATAACTGAAATATTATAACAAGAAATTGATAATTAAGAACTAAAGAACCAAGGAACGAAAAAATACTAGCCAGTAAATTGTGTATCCTTGCAAGGACGCCTCTCATTTAGTGGCTTCCATTTGTTTGTTCCCTTCTCTTTTACCTCCACGACGTAACCTTTGACCTTGCCCCCTCCATCACTGATCGGTTTTGTCCACGAAAGTGTCACAGTACCCTCGTCCACGTCCACAATTTCAGGAGTGCCCGTCTTGCCAGGTGTGTCTGTGTAAGAATTAACATTTCAATAACAGCATCAACACTATTTTAACCAAATCTATCAATCATTTAATTTTTATAGCGCCAATCATATCAACGAATTTACCGAAAGGATGCTTGGCAACGATCGGCTTATCAGTGAGCAGTGGCTCGCTCTGGCCGTTCTCATTAACAGCGGAAACTCTGAACTCGTAGGTCTCGCCTGGATCCAGGTCGTTCACCTCACATTCAGTGTCCTTGCAGAAACGACTCACTGGAGTCCAACGACCTAAAAATATAAAAAAAATTTTAATTATCATGGTTAATATTATAATTATTGTGTTCTAGTCAAAATTTTAATTAGTTGTTAGCAATTATGACAAAAAAATTTGTAAATTATTTTATGTGAGATTGATGAATTTTTAATATTAGAAGTTAATTTAGAAAGAACCTGAAGTTTTGTCTTTCTTCTCGACGAGATAGTTAGTGATAGGATCACCTCCGTTATCCTTCGTAAAATTTGAATTGAAAAGCAACTCAGTAAAACTTCATTAAAACTAAATTGAATAAATGTTGAAATTCAGTTATACTAAAACTTTGAAAATTTAACGCCCAAAAACCAACTTTAGGTGGATTCCAGGAGAGTTTGCAGGATTCGGGGGTGACCTTAGAAACTTCGAGAGGTCCCTCGGGAGCACCAGGTTTGTCGACCACCACCAAGTTCACGTACGCTGTGTCGGAGCCTTTCACGTTCTTTAGGACAGCTGATATGCGGCCCGCGTCGGCTTTTTCGGCTGATTTGCAGAGGAGAACAACTTCATCGTCCTTTATTTCGAATGATATTCTTCCATCTTCGTTTATTTGTCTCGGACCCTGATTCAAAAATTTTTAAAAATAATTTTTTTACATTATAAATGAAAAAAATTAAAACGGCTGCTGAAGTATGTCATGAAAATAACTGGCTATTAATTAAAATTGAGATGAACGTGGTAGGTAGATTGTATGATGTAATTACTAACATTGAACCAGTTAACAGTAGGAACGGGTGTGCCTTTGTATGGAATTTTTATCTTATATGGTTCTCCTACTTTTGCTCTCACCTCGCTCAAACTCGGGTCGAGAAGAACCTTCGGAGCAGCTGAAAATAAAATCAATCATCAAAATCAACCATCGATTTTAGACGTTACGTTCGATCAGGAAATAATAATAAAAAGAAGAGGTTTTTTAAATTTTATTTAAAACAATAAAAATAGAAATAGTTGTAATTGTAGGAAATGGATCGAACTGGGAGGAGGGGCAGCTTTGATGGCCTCCGATGCATCAGAGAAGGCACCTGGTCCTGCGTCATTCACTGCGGCTACTCGGAACTCATACTCCCTTCCTTCTTTCAATCCTTTCACCGTTACTTCGTTGTCGAGAATTTCTTCAGGCACTCTGTGGATAAAAAAAATTAATCTATTTATTGCAAAATTGGAACAATCAACATAATATTTTACGGTTTATTTACATTTTCTAAAAATATTTAAAAATCTTTTTAAAGTTACTTGGTCCATTTTTTCGATCCCTTCTCTCTCTTCTCGACGACGTAACTCTTGATTGGTCGGCCGCCATCTCTGGTGGGAGGCTCCCACGTTAATGTTATGGAGTCCTCCGTCGTTCCCAGACATTCAGGAGTGCCTGGCTTTCCGGGTGGATCTATGTGATTAAAATCGGCACGTCAAAAAGTGATAGACATCAGTTTTTGAATATTGAGTTTTAACCGTATTAACGCTACTAACTGAACGGATATTTGGCGACGATTGGTTCCGTAGTAACCAGAGGATCACTTTCTCCATTCTCATTGACGGCCATCACCCTGAACTCATACTCCTCTCCTGGTTCCAAATTTTTAGCGGTTGCCTGTGTATCGTTGGGTCCGATCGTTCCTGGTACCTTTGTCCAGCGGTTGGAACCTTTAGGTTTCTTTTCGAGGACGTATTTCTGAATTTTGGCACCTCCGTTATCTTTTGGTGGTTTCCATTCCAATGTGATTTCGGTGGGGGAGGTGCTGACTGGCTCGAGAGGTCCTTCAGGTGCTGCCGGCTTGTCTTAACGCAACAAAAAAATATTTCAAAACGTTCATTTAATTTCAAATATACTCTTTATTTATACTACTCAGTTAATTCTCACCAAGGACGTTAACGTGAAGGGAACCCTCTGCAGTTCCGTGCGGGTTCTTCAACTTCAAATCATACTTGCCCGTGTCAGATCTTGCTGCATCTTTTACTGTCAATATGACTTTATCTTCTTGAACCTGTTTGGTCGCAAGAATAATTTAAAAATTTTCAGTTTTTTGAAAATCATTTCGTTGAATTAAATTTTTTAATATTTCCATACCCACCTCCATATGCACCCTTCCACCTTTCTCAATAGGAGCTCCATTGAGTTCCCAGGTAGCCGTCGGGAGGGGCCAACCTTTTATTGGAACGACAATTTTTATTTCTTGACCAGCTTTCACGTTTATATCTTTCATCTGACTTAAATCAATGCTTGGTTTCTCTGAAGAAAGATACATGACGATATTTTATTAGCCGTCAATTCGTAACAATTTTTAGAATGTAAAAATTTTATTTTGTATTGAAGAATTTATCTGTTCCGTTAAAAATTTTTACACAATTTAAATTTTTAACAATTTATTATTAATAAACATACCAGCAGGTTTTTCGGCAACGACGGGAGCAGTGGGGGCACTGGGAGTCCCTGGACCCGCCTCATTGACTGCTTTCACTCTGAACTGATAAGTTTCTCCTTCCTTTAAGTGTGGTACTTTGAATTTTGTATCTTTCACTAATGGCGAGACTTCTTTCCACTCGCCATCTTTGTCCTTCATCTCAACGATGTAGCCGTCAATTTTTCCACCGCCATCGTCGAATGGTTTCTCCCAAGACAGGGCTACTGAGTTTGGAGTGACTTCATCCACCTGAGGGGTTCCCGGTGGTCCGGCCGCAACTGTTTGATGCAAAAATTTAAAAATATATATTTTAATTATTATTAAAAATATTTTAAACTGATATTAAATAAAATTTTTTTACTCACAGACTTGGTCCCTGACTCTGTGAGGCCCAGTCGACTTGCTTGGCTTGCCGGGACCAGCGTCGTTGACAGCCACCACTCTGAACTCCCACTCACTTCCTTCCGTCAAGTTTGGTACTGTGAATGTAGTGCCGGCTGTTGGCGTAGAATTGACAGGTGTCCAATCTCCGCGTCCTTTTGCCGGGCACTTCTCGATGATGTAGCCTGGCGAGTTGAGGAATAATTTGTTAGTTTAAATTTTTTCTGATCATGTTATTGTTCTCCTACCTTGTATGGGATTGCCTCCATCATCTGTTGGTTCTTTCCATTTCAACGTGACTGAATTCTTATCGTATTTTGTGATCACTGGATCTTTTGGCTCGCCAGGCGGGTCTTTGTGAAGTTGAAATTTAAATTGTTTAAATTAAAAAATTAATTCAAAAATGTTTTTGAAAAAGATTTACAAACGTAAAATTTAGATTTGTAACTGACCGTACGGATCTTTAGCTAGGATGGCCTTATTAGTCTCAACGGGCTCTCCCAATCCAAGTTTATTTTGAGCTTTAACTCTGAACCTGTATTTCTTGCCAGGCTCCAATCCTTTCACGACGTGAGACTCTCCGGAGACTATTCCAGGAACTTTCTCCCAGTTGTCCGTTCCATCGAGACACTTCTCCACCACGTATCCAGTTATTTCGGAGCCGCCGTTGTCGGACGGAGGCAGCCAGGCCAGCTTGCAGTGGTCGGCAAAAACTTCTGTTGCCTGCAAGTTTTCGGGTGAGTCTGGCACGCCTGGAATGTTTTTGAATTTTAGATTTTATTAAAAAAATTGTTAAATGAAATAAAATTAAGTGAATATTAAGTAAAAAAATGTAAAAATAATCACGTTTCGGCTTTTCTGCTTTGATTGGGGCAGTAGCTAAGCTGAAATCTCCGACACCTACGTCTGTAATTGCAGCGACTCTAAACTGATACTCCTCACCTTCCACCAAATCTGGAACTGTTGCTGTCTCTCCGACGATTGGAGCGTCTGAAACTGCTTCCCAGTCTCCGTACGGAGTTTTCTTCTCCAATCTGTAGCCTGAAAATTTTATTTATGAAAAATTAAAATAGTTCAAATAATAAATTGAGCTCTTGTTCTGAAGAAAGAACTGAGAAGTACCTTTGATGGGGCTGCCTCCGTCGTTGGCAGGCTTCGTCCAACTGAGATCGATCGAGTGTGGCCCAACTTTGTCAGGAGTCAGTGCTCCAGGGGCTGAAGCTTTCGCTGTAGAAAATAAAATTTCATTTTTGATAGTTTTTTAAAATAAAATATTAATTTTGTTAACTTTTTAAAGATTTTTTTCATCACATTCATTATAAAGTTTGAAAACTAACTGGGTTTAGGCTTAGTGATAACGGCATCAGATGGCGCGCTTGGTTCTCCGAGTCCTGCTTCATTCTTGGCCAACACACGAAACTCATATTCAACGTTCGGTTCCAAGTTTTGAGCTATGCAAACATTGACAAAAAGATAAAATCATATTTGACAAGCGTTCTAACATTTTAAAGGTCAATTAATTGCAAGCGTGCGTATTTATAAGAAATGCTGAGATGAAATGAACCACCTGTAAATGTTGTATCGTGGCAGGGGTTTCTCGGATTTAGTGGCGTCCATTTGTTCGACCCTTTTTCCTTGGCTTCGATGACGTAGCCCTTAATTTTGTTGCCCCCGTCGTTGATTGGTTTGGACCAGGAGAGAGTGACAGAGCTCTCGTCCGCATCTTCAATCGTCGGCTTTCCAGGCTTGCCTGGCGGGTCTGAAATTGAAGTAAAAAACTTGTTCGAATGAGGAGAAACATAAAAAAATAGAAACAACTTACCGAAAGGATGCTTGGCAACGATCGGCTTATCAGTGAGCAGTGGCTCGCTCTGGCCGTTCTCATTAACAGCGGAAACTCTGAACTCGTAGGTCTCGCCTGGCTCCAGGTCGTTCACCTCACATTCAGTGTCCTTGCAGAAACGACTCACTGGAGTCCACTTGCCTGTTTTGTTATGTTTAATTGGAAGATAAGCAGTGTTAAAAGTGAGCTGTTTGAATGACTTTAAGTTATTTTTCGTATGCGTGTATTTGATGGTCCTGTGACTGACCTGATGTCTTGTCTTTCTTCTCAACTACGTAATGAGAAACTGGATTGCCACCGTCGTCCTGATAAATTCATTACCAGATTTATTGATGATTATAATTACTCAACATCAACAACACATTTTAAAAATGATCCAACACCAAACAAAACAAAAGTTTATTTCTAATTTCAGAAGGAAACCAACTTTGGGAGGCTTCCAGGAGAGTTTACAAGATTCGGGGGTGATCTTGGAAACTTCAAGGGGTCCTTCTGGAGCACCAGGTTTGTCGACCACCACCAAGTTCACGTACGCTGTGTCGGAGCCCTTCACGTTCTTTAGGACGGCTGATATGCGGCCTGGCAAATGAAAATATGAAGTGATGAAACTGTTTGAAACGTTAATTCATTGTTTCCGTAATAAAATCCATCCTTAAACAACAAGTCTATTGATTCATAAAAATTATTTTTACACATTACATACCTAAATTTTGTTAAAGTGTTAACTATTATAATTATCTGAACCTGTATCTTCTTTCTTGGCTGATTTGCAAAGGAGAACAACTTCGTCATCCTTTATTTCAAACGATATCCTACCATCCTCATCCAATTGTTTAGCTCCCTTAAAAGATAGAACGTTTCAATTGAAATAATTAGCTCTATGTATGTGTGTACAGTGCATGTACGTCTATAGTAATTTGTGCATTCACAGTCAGATAGTCAAAGGCCATACAATTAAACAATCTACAAATATGTGACAAATTTTCAACATTCAACTCCGCATTACATCGCATAAGATAATAAAAAATGAATGGTAGACAGCAAGAAATTTGAACTGACATTGAACCAGGTGACATCGGGCACAGGGGTTCCTTTGTATGGAATTTTTATTTTGTAGGGCTCGCCGACCTTTGCCCTTACATCTCCGAGGAGAGAATCTAGCACTCTTGGTGCAGCTTATTGTGAGATTAAAATTTGTAAAAAATCTTAAAACGGTTGGGATTTTAAAAAAAAATGTGATTTTTAAAAACATATTTGAAATTAAGATCTGAAATATTAAATAACTTACAAACAGTTGTAAAAATAAAATTTTAGAGAGCCATATTATTTTGTAACATTTTTTTATTGATAAAAATATATGTCAATTTATGATGGGATTTGGCTTTATGTGAAGAGCAACGTGTTGTACAATAGAAGTATTTATTAAAAATTTGATTATATTTTATTGTTAATATTCGTAATTAATAATATAATAATATGCTCATAACATAATTAATAATAAATAATGACATGGTGGTGGTGCGGGTTTGATCGCTTCTGATGGTTCAGAAAATTCTCCATGGCCAGCATCGTTGATGGCAGCTACCCTGAATTCGTACGGTCTTCCTTCCACCAAGCCTTTCACTGTAAACTCCGGATCTGTGATTTCAGCCGGAACTCTACGGATAGTTTAATAATATTTATCATGTGCTTATAATATTCAGTGAAGAATAAACTACGAAATATCATTTTAATAGAACGATTTGAAAGATGAATGTCTGAATTATCTGACCGACTGATTGAATGTACGATCGACCAAAAATAGTTACAAAATTTAAACATACTTGGACCACTTCTTGGCCCCTTTTTCTCTTTTCTCGAGCACGTATCCTTTGATGGGCCTTCCACCGTCCCTGAACGGTGGGTCCCAAGATAATGTTACCGAGTCTTCAGTTGTTCCCTGACATTCAGGTTTTCCTGGCTTGCCAGGAGGATCTGTGTATTTAAATAACAGTTTTTGTACCAAAGGGTTTCAGATATAGTTCTCAAAATTTAAAGAAACTCATTTTTTATCTACAGCAATTTATTGATAAACGCACCAAATGGATATTTGGCGACGATTGGTTCCGTAGTAACCAGAGGATCACTCTCTCCATTCTCATTGACAGCCATCACCCTGAACTCATACTCCTCTCCTGGTTCCAAATTTTTGGCGGTTGCCTGCGTATCGTTGGGTCCGATCGTTCCTGGCACCTTTGTCCAGCGGTTAGAACCTTTAGGTTTTTTTTCCAAAACATATTTTTCAATTTTGGAGCCGCCGTTATCTTTCGGTGGTTTCCATTCGAGTGTGATTTCGGTGGGGGAGGTGCTGACTGGTTCCAGGGGTCCCTCTGGCGGAGACGGCTTGTCTGAAACGTTGCACAGGTGGTTATTATAAATTATGCAATCAAAATGATGTCGCATCATGAGTACAGAAAAATAAAACCAACCAACAAACAAACAAACAAATTGTCTTCAAGAACCCACCGAGCACAGTAACGTTGACTGTTCCTTCAGCACTTCCTGAATCATTTTTAATAACGATATTGTAAGGGCCTGTATCTTTCCTCACTGCGTCTTTTATAACTAACAAGGCCTGGTCTTCGCTCGTCTACATTTATCAATCGTAAGTTTATATTCTAAAAATTGTTTTATCATTTGCATGGATGTTTGTTCGCTCTCACGAAAATGTCCGTTAAAACCATTAAAAACTTCATGAATTAAAATTAAAAGATATTCTCGACTAAATGTAGTGAAAAATGTAACGAATTAAAAAGATGAAATTGTTAGCACCTCAATTTTGTTTCTGCCTCCCTTATCGAGAACGTTATCTCCAAGCGACCAGGTGGCGGTAGGAACGGGCCAACCTTTTATTGGTAGGGCTATTTTTATGTCTTGCCCTGCCCTCACCGTTATATCTTTGATGCCGCTCAAATCTATGCTTGGTTTTTCTGGACGTTTGTTATTTAATCCGTTTCAAAAGTTTGATTTAAATCAGAATTTAAGAATAAGTTAATAAATTGATCAAATTACCTTTGGGTTTTTCTGCTACGACGGGTACAGTGGGGTTACTAGGTTCACCAGGACCCGCCTCGTTAACAGCCTTAACCCTGAACTGGTAAGTTTCTCCTTCTTTCAAGTTTGGTACAGTGCAGTGAGTGTCTTTGACGGGAATTGAACTGACCTCCTTCCATTCGCCATCTTTATCCTTCACCTCAACTATGTAGCCTTCTATTTTACCGCCTCCGTCGTCCAGGGGTTTCTCCCACGAAAGATCAATTGCTTTTGGGGACACTCTGTCGATGGTGGGTGTTCCGGGCGGGCCGGCGGCAACTGAAAAATTTTATTTCCATGAGTATTTTAAGTAAAATAATTAATTACACATATAAAAACATTTGAATCGTTTCAATACAGGGAAGTTTTTTCTACTCACAGACTTGGTCCCTGACTCTGTGAGGCCCAGTCGACTTGCTTGGCTTGCCGGGACCAGCGTCGTTGACAGCCACCACTCTGAACTCCCACTCACTTCCTTCCGTCAAGTTTGGTACTGTGAATGTTGTGCCGGCTGTCGGCGTAGAATTGACAGGCGTCCAATCTCCGCGACCCTTTGCCGGGCACTTCTCGATCACGTAACCTAATTTTTTTAATTTTCCAATAAAATAATATATATTTGCTTTAAATTATTTTACTTGTAAAAAAAAATAATTGGCCAGCGTAGTTTTCAAACCTTTGATGGAATTGCCTCCATCGTCGTTCGGTTTTTTCCACTTCAAAGTCACGGAACTCTTATCATATTTGTCAATCTGCAAGTCTTTAGGCTCGCCTGGCGGGTCTGTAACAGAAATATCACCATAATGAATGATTGTAATTATAACAATAAGTAATCAGATCAAATCGATAAATTGTTTTTCCAAACGATCGAAACTACTAACCAAACGGATTTTTGGCCAGAATAGATCTATCAGTTTCGCATGGATCGCTCACTCCGTACTGGTTTTCAGCTTTAACTCTGAATTTATATTTCTTACCGGGCTCCAAACCACGGACTGTATGCTTCGTTCCGATGGTATTTCCCGGAACCTTCTCCCAGAAGTTGGTACCTTCTTGGCACCTTTCAACGATGTAGCCAGTTATTTCACCGTTGCCATCATCAGCTGGCGGGTCCCAGGATAACTTGCATTGTTCTGCTCTCACGTCAGATACTTGCAGATTTTCAGGCGGCGATGGTCGGTCTACCGGTATCAAACAAATCGATATCAAACGATTTTGAAGTTAAACTCGTTATTTATCGATTACATCGACATGATTTTTTAGTAGACTCTACTGTTTTAGTTTGGAATTGAAATAACAGTAGCTCACCTAGAACGATAACGTTGATGTATCCAGTATCAACTCCGTTCGGATTGCTAACAGTGATGGCATATTTTCCGTTGTCGGATTTCTTTGTGACAGGTATGTGCAGGCTGGCCTCCTCTTCACCGTTTTTCTGTTCAATCTGGCATTGATCGTTTGAATTAATAAATGAGTGAGTGATTTGTTTTTATAAAGTTAAAAAGTTTGAAGTTGAACTGAAGATTGAGGTGATTTCTTCCTTACCCTTTCAGACGGAGGAAGATCTTTAGCATCTTTTTGCCAAGTAACAGTTGGAGTTGGTGCTCCAGAAATAGGGATGTCCAATTTCAATGGCTCTCCAGCTCGCACACGCACATCCCTACCGCCTAATCCAGATAGATCAACTTTAGGTGGAGCTGTATGCGAAAAGATTTTACAATATTTTGTATAGTTTAGTTTATTCAATGCGTATACATTGTAACACAATCGCCACCATTACGAACACAACGTAATCATCATCATCGTCGCCCTCATCAGCAGCAGCCTACCTTTCAATGGCCTAGCTTTGATGGGATTGGATGCTTCGCTGGGATCAGACTCGCCTCCAGCATTTTCAGCGGTGACTCTGTACTCGTACTCCTTGCCCGGCTGAACCTTCTTGTCCTTGAATTCTGGTTTCTGAGTTAAGATCAAGGTTGTAATTCATTAACTTCGTAATGTACATCGTTGGTATTTTCATCATAAGTTTATATATAAAATTTTCACTGTTGTCATCAGCTCTCTCTCTCTCTCTCGCAATTCATCCTCACAAATATTCATCCTCACTTTGAGAGGTTCCGTGTTAACTTTTTTCCAGGTGCCAGTTTTGGGATCCTTCCTTTCTACGTTGTATCCGGTTATTGGAGCACCGCCATCTTTTGCTGGGGGCTCCCATTTTATCGCTATGAAGTCTTTATCACTGTCTGTCACTTCAGGCTTGCCGGGAGGATCCGGTTTATCTTTAATTAGGTGGGGAATTAAGAAAATTGAGTTAGTGAATATTAAATATGATAACGATGATCAAAATGGTGAAATTGAACATCACATAACTAAATGTTTAACTAACCATATGGGTTCTTAGCTAGGATCGGTCTATCAGTTTCAACTGGATCACTGACGCCATATTGGTTCTCTGCTTTCACCCTGAACTTGTACTTCTTCCCCTTCTTAAGGCCCTTGACCACGTGCTTCGTTCCACTGATGACGTCACTTATCGGTAGCCACAGACCGGTATCCTCATCACATTTCTCGATAATGTAGCCTGTTCGTTTATGTGCATGCGTGTGTTTGTGTACCTCTGTTAACATGACAGGTTACTTAATTAGAATAAATTAACGCACTTAATTAGCATAAATTAAAATTACAAAATAACAGACCAGTGACTTCGGCACCACCATCGTCGGCCGGTGGCTTCCAGTCGAGTGTGCATCTGTCGGCGAAGACTTCGCTTACGTTCAAGTCTCTTGGTGGGGAAGGTTTGTCTGTGTGGCAAGGTTGATGTTTGTGCCATTTTAATTATATTATTAATCATAATAATCACAATAATCACAATAATAATAATAAATAATAATTATTATAATAATGGTTATGATGTAGCAAAAGTTAACCGACCTAAAACAATAACGGTAATGTCACCAGAACTTTCGCCAAACTCATTGCTGGCTTTGATGGTGTACTTGCCCGAGTCAGCCCTCGTCGATGCGGGGATTGTTAGGGTGGCTTTGTCGTCGCCCTTTACCGGGTCGTCCGTGATTTCTTGTCTCGCCTGTCATTGGTTGCAGTGCGATTTGATGTAATTTAGTGGTGTGCTCTGTTGTGCGAATCAATGTAACATTACTCTTCACACCTTATCTGACGGGGGCAAATCTTTTTTATCTTTCGACCAGCTGATGTTAGGTCTGGGCGTTCCACTAACTGGCACCTCGATTTTGATTGGATCTCCCGCTCGCACCCTGATTTCTTTACCAGCCAATAGGCTTAGGTCCACTTTGGGGGCGTCTAAATGAATGAATAATGATGATTAAATAAATGAATAGTATGTAAATAGATATTAATAATAAGTATGTGAGTGAATGAGAGAATAAATTAATAAAGGAACGAATGAATGTGTGAGTGACTGACTGACTGAATGAATGAATGGACAAAAAAAACGAACATGTGTTCCTATATGTACCCCATATGTACCGATTTTTAAAGAATAAAAAAGGTGAAATTATATGAGCACTGAACCTTTGAGAGGTCTGGCTTTGATGAGATCAGATGGTTCGCTTGGTTTTGATTCGCCACCTTCGTTCTCAGCTGTCACTCGGTATTGGTAGTCTTTGTTCGGTTGGACTTTATCATCTCTGAATTCGGGTTCCTAGTGTGTTTGATTGGCTGGGCTTAGCTATTTACTGAAACGTTTGATCAAATTCAACACCCAAACGATCTGTTAAAGACTGACCTTGAGAGGCTCCGTGTTGACCTTGCTCCAAGTTCCAGTTCTGGGATCCTTTCTTTCAACGTTGTAACCGGTTATGGGGGCGCCACCATCTTTTTTCGGTTTTTCCCATTTTATTTTTATAAAGTTTTTGTCGCTGTCTACTACGAAAGGCTTGCCGGGAGGATCGGATGGATCTGAATTAATAATTAATTAATAATTAATTAATAAATAATTATTCATAAATATATAATTGACAGTCATGGTAAGATTAGAAGTTGTGGTAGTAATAGTAGTAGAAGGGTAGTAGTTCAAAATATTCCATGAACACAATTACGTGGCATAACAATTAAGTCGAAATTTTAGAAAAAAAATTGCGCGAAACCTACCGAAGGGGTTCTTAATAAGGACAGATTTCTCAGTTTCGAGCGGCTCACTTGGCCCCAGCTCATTCTCGGCCCTCACTCTGAATTTGTAATCCTCGCCTTCTTTCAGTTTCGGTATTTTGAATTCGTGCACATCCGGTGGGATGGTTCCGGATATTGGTTCCCATTTTCCGGTGGACACGTTTTGTTTCTCCAATGTGTAGCCACTTTGTAAAGGGTAGATGATGAAGAGGATAATGGTGAAGATGAACATGATGGTGACGATGACGAAGAAGATGATGAAAGTTACACTCACGTGATCGGTTTACCGCCATCATCAGCAGGTGGTTTCCATGCAATTGTTGCACTGTCCTTCTGGATATCTGTGACCTCCAATGGACCTTTTGGCTTGCCCGGTGGTCCTACCAGGTCAAAAAATTAAAAAAAAACTTTAAAATTATAAATACACACGCACGCACACACACACACACACACACACACTCACACAAACACTTACCGAATACAACCAATTCTAGCTCGGCTCGGTCCATACCGTATTCGTTAGAAACGGTTATAACGATTTTACCGGTATCTTTACGAGTCAGCTTTCTCCATATGAGGTTCGTTACGTAGTCTTGGTCGGTTTGCTTGATGTTTTCTCCTTTCTCTAATGTCTGAGTGTCAGTTAGTTGTGATGGTGACGTGATGATGACGATGTGAGGATGGTGATGGCAATTGAGCTGATGATATTGTAAAATTATAGTTAAAAACTTAAATATCAATAAAGATGATGAAGAGGATGAAGATGATGATGAAAATCATTATTACAGTTTAAATATAAATATAAAACGCGAAAAACTATTTTGTTAGCTTCAAACAAAGAATATTAAATAACATGCATCCGTGTGAGGAACTAATTTAAATGAAACCCACAAAAATACAAATGTAAGTTCAAATTCACGTTCACCCGCAACCAAATAATAATAATAAATGTAATAAACAACAATAAAATAATAATAATATTGGTATAATATTTTTAAAACTGTTAGCAATTTTATTATTTTAAATTTTTTTCATTAAAAATAGAGCCATTTTTTAATATGAACACGAGAAAATTTATTACTACTCAACTTATTCTTTCGGAATTTTTTGAAAAACTTTGAAAAAATATGGCGAGAAGGACGAAAAGTTTCTTACTTTACGATAAAATGAAAAAGTTAAATACATCAACTAACAAAGGAGGACAAAAAATATATTTGAAAGGTGAAAAAGCACGAAAATATTATGAAAAAATGGCTTAAACGTGAATCAAAATTTGAAAAAAAAACTTTAAATTGAATAATTTGATGAGAAAAAAGGCTTTAACGTTAACAAACAATACCAACACAGCCAACATCATCATCATTTGTAAGAAACCAATCTATCATTCATTCATTCATTCATTCAATCATTCATTCAATCATTCATTTATTCATTCATTCAATCAATCAGTCGGTCAATCACAAGCGATATATCAAGCAAGCATGGGTTAACTCTCACTTCAAAAGGCTTGGTACTGGTTTTGATAAGTTTATCTTCGACCAATGGCTAAGCATTTTGTGTATGTATGTGTGTGTTTGTGTGTGGATATGTGCATGGATGTGTGTGTTTGTGTGTGTTTTTATGTTACGGTTTCCCATTCAAACTGTTGCACAAACACACACGGGTAGTTATGATGATTTTTTTTGTTATTTGGGCTGTGTTATTGGAGGCGGTGTTAGGCGCCATTTCTTGAAAATTACATATAAAAACGAATGAATAAATGAATGAATGAAAGAATGAATTAATTAATGAAAGAATGAATGAACTAATGAATGAAAAAATAAAATATGCGCAAAATTTTTAAATAAAATTTATCACGTACATCGCTATAACTTCATGGTACATATGTATAGACATTTGAAACTACATAACTATCAAGAACTGGCATCGAGATACATATTTATTCAAAAATTATTTTTGTTAAAAACATCACAATTCTATTGAACTTCCTCCTATAAAATATCCATGCGTGTATTAATGTTTATCTGATATTCTACACATTTTACAAACTACCCACTCAATTTTCTTCTTGAAATCAAAGAAATAAAAACGATATGTTATATATTTTGTATCATCTGCTACATTAACCTCTGCCTATATAAGCCTAGCAGCATTTTAAACGTTTTCAACATCATCTCTGCATATCTCTACATTAATGTGCCTGTGTACCTACCTTCAAACTTTGCACAATTTGTTGTTGTACAAAAAAATCATCTACTACAAACACAATACAAAGATATTCACACAAGTCTCTTTCTATTTCACTAGCTACCTATGTACAATTTACGTCTATGTACATTTCAGTAATAAAAAAATTGCATGCTCTGGCAGATGGTTCCTACCTTTCCAGCTTTGCTCCAGACTGCCTTCGGGGAAGGCTCGCCTGAGAATTTGACTTCGATGTTTGCTTCCTGGCCGTTCTTGTACGTGTTGATCTCCATGAAACTGTTGCGGTCGATTCGCGGCTTGACTGCGTGTGCGTGTGTTCAGTTGTTTTAAAATTATTCTCCAGGTCACAAATATTTACTAAATTGATCTAAATTAAGTTTTTAAATCATCAATTAAACATTTTTACACATCTCTGTTACCTCTTCTCGCTTTGGTCTTAACAGGGGCACATGGTTCCGAAGCCTTTCCAGGGCCTGCCTCGTTCACGGGGGTCACCCGGAATTCGTACTCTTTGCCCTCCTCCAAGTTCGGGATGGCAGCACTGTTTTCAGAGGGAGGCACCATGCCCACCTTTCAAGGAAAGAACATTTTTTGAAACGAAAATTAATTTGAGGGTAAGTTGAAAGAACAAAACTCCCTTCAAACTATCACCACCACTGCAGCAAGAACAACATGAAGAAATTTAATTCAAACCTTCTCCCAATCTTTCCCCCTCTCCCTCTTCTCGATGACGTATTTGAGGATGGGACTTCCACCGTCCGTGGTCGGAGGGGTCCATTTGATTTCGGCCCTGTCCTTGTCGTAGTCGATAATTTCAGGTCTGCCAGGCTGGCCGGGAGGATCTGGATGAATAAAAAAACCGCCTCGTGTCATGAATGCCTGCGAGCCACATTTTCAAAAGTAAAACAGCAACTGACCGAAAGGATCTTTGGCCAGCGTCTCCCCATCCGACGTCAGCGGCTCACTCTCGCCGAGGCTGTTGACAGCCTTAACTCTGAACTTGTACTTTTTACCAGGCTCCAGCCCAGGCACTCCACACTGAGTGTCGTCGATAACTTTCCCAACGAGCGTCCACTGTCCCGTCGCTACATCCTGGGCTTCCACGATGTACTTCTCAATTGGAAGGCCTCCGTCATCTTTTGGAGGCTTCCATGACAGGCGACATCTGTCCTTGTACACATCTTGCACCACAAGTGGTCCTTGTGGTTTCGACGGTTTGTCTGTGGCGGTAGTGATAACAAAATGATAATTAATTAATAAAGTTGGAATATCAGCTGTGATGATAAGAATGATGAAATGAAGCTGACCAATGACTTTCAACGTGATGGGCACGTTTATCTTGCCGCTCTTGTTCTTCAGTTCAATTTCGTACTCGCCAGCGTCGCTTCTCTTCGCCTGGTTTCATTCGCGGATTTTAAATAATCATCAATTTTTCTAAATTTTAAGTCACCACCGGCCAAATAAATGAGGTCAGAAGCAAGCTTTACGGTATTTGAAATTGCACAATCAGACGCCAACCTTCTCTAAGTTCAGTTTGCACTTGTCGGCAGTTTGCGAAGTTTTGATGCTTGGATCGAGTTGGCCCTTGTTCTTCGTCCAGGCCACGGTTGGTTTTGGGTTGGCCGTGTACGGGATGTCGAGGGCAACATTCTGGCCCGCCTTCACTGTGATCTCCCTGGGCACCGCATCCAGATTGACTACTGGAGGGCGCTGGGCAAGATCCACCTAAATTCCAGAAGGAGTAAGTCAAGTGATTTGAAATTTTTGAAACTTTGTTACGCATCAGTTAGATGTTTTTGTTATGAATTATTCGAGTTTATAATTTTTCACAGAAGGTTAAACTATATTAATTTTAAATTTATTTAAAACAAATTGCGAATTAACTTTCTTGACTAAAAATGAACCTGAAGTTTAGCCGAGGTTGACCTGTCCCCAATCTTGCAGGAGAACTCCGATGCATCGTCTAGCGTTAGATCTTTGATAGTGAGAGTTGCCTTGCCTCCCTCCTCCGTAATCACGAACTTGTCCGACGGTTTGATCTCCTCGTCGTTCCTGTACCAGGTTATCGGGTAGTTCTTCGGATTTTTAACCTTGCAGACGAACTGCGCCTCTTCGCCTTCAACTTTCCGCAAATTTTTTAACTGCTCCTTGATGACGACCTCGGCTTTAAGAATATTTTCATTTTGTTCGTTGGTGAATTTGAAGATTTCCGAAAAATTATGCATTGAAAAATGTTTGAAAAAAAAACTAACGAGCGACGTATAATTTTCCTGAAGTAACTTTATCCTGGCCGACGATCTTGCACTTGTAGATGCCCTCGTCCCTCTGACCGATGTTGTTCACTCGCAAACGACGTTTCTTGCCGTCTTGCACGCAGAAGTATTTCGGATCATTTATGTCAATTTTCTGCTCATAAAATATCGAATTAATTATGACAGGTAAAATAATATTTATAAAATTTGTAAATAATAATTTTTGAAATAATTAAAGATGATCATGGATGAAAATTTTATAGGGACCCACCTTATCCTCCCTGTACCACTCGACAGGGGCTTCCTCGTCGTTTACTTCGCATTCGAACTCGGCATTTTCCTTCTCCAGGGCGTCTGTGTCTGTCAGGCTCTTGTCGAAATCGTACTCCGGCTCTGATGTTAGTTAGTGTCACATTTTCAATTTCATTCGTCTATCCACTGTATTAGAGAAGAAAAAGAGAGAGAGAGAGAGAGAGAGAGAGAGAGAGAGAGAAAGAACCAACAAACCTTCGACGACCACTTTCCCTGTAGTTTTGTCTCCTTCAACCTCGCAAGAGAATTCAGCGGCGTCATCTTTGCCAACATTTTTGATTTTCAATAGGCAGCGATTTTCGCGTCTTGATATTTCATACTTATCTGGTTCGTACTGTGTGTGTGTGTGTGTGTGTGTGTGTGTGTGTGTGAGGGAGAGAGTGTGTGAGTGTGTTTGTTTGTGTGCGCGTGTGTTAGTTTTTATTATAAAATCCATTTTTCCTTAAAGTGGGTTGTCTTACTTCAATTTTCTCTCCGTTCTTCTTCCATGTAACGTCAGGCCTCGGATCGTTTATCATACATTCCAGTATCAAATCCTTCTTCCGCTTCACATTGGCAGTCTTGGGAAGTTTTTGTGTGAAGAAGTATTCAACTTTCTTACCTGGCCAACGTAAAAATAGAATTCTTGGTGTAGAAATGTTACAACACATGAAAATTAACATGCTCTCGTTGGCTAGTTTGCCTGCTCTTCAAACAAAATTTTCGCCTGGCAAATTTTCGACTTTTTGATGCAAGTATAATAGAGCAGGTGATGTAAAAACCAAACATAATAAAATACTTAATTTAACTAAAATAAAATAAAAATAATGATAAGCTAAAATGATAAATGATAGAGAGAGAGAGAGAGAGAGAGAGAGAGAGAGAGAGAGAGAGAGAGAGAGAGAGAGAGAGAGGAAAGAAACCAACTTTCAACAGTGAGATAGCAGGATGTTTCCTTGAGGTCTGCACTGCAGATGTATCTTGCGTTGTCGTCCTTTGTCACCTTGTTCACGATCAGTCGGAATATTCCTGGGAAGACAGTGACATATTATTCTATAAATGATTAAACTATAATTAAAGTAATAATTAAACTATAATAAAAATAATAATTAAACTATAATTAAAGTAATAATTAAACTATAATTAAAGTAATGATTAAACTATAATTAAAGTAATGATTAAAGTATTATTTTGTATGAAAATGATTTACAGAGTTTGAATGCAGATCTATCACATTTGATACACGCATTTACATAGAAAATGAATTGTAGATACAAAAAAATACTACACTAAACACATTTTTTTTCTACTCACCATCTTCAGAAGAAATGTTATACTTGGTTCCTTGGAAAATTTCCAGCTTGTTTTTATACCATCTGACGCGTGCGGTTGGCTTGCTGTACTTGCATGCTAACTCCACCTTGCTCTCTTTCTCTTGGCAGGTTAGGTCTTCAAGCTCGTCTATCCAGTGATCCGTCGTCTGTTGGTTTAGTGAGATGTCCGGGAGAGAGATTAGATGGTGAACAAATGGGGAAAAGATAGAAAAAGAAAGAGTGAGAGAGAGAGAGAGAGAGATAAAAGTAATATGAGTACCATTTAAGAAAATTTATTTATCATTACGTCTGTGTTTTTATCTTACTATTCCTCAAATCAAATACCAATTCCCACCATAACGTAATCATTCGTCATTTGAATTAATAATCCAATAATTCACCCATTCATTCATCATTCATTCATTCATCCATCAATTCAACTGAATGCATTAGCTCACCCTTTCCTTGCCATCACCGAGTTGGGCGGCGTTCCTCGACAGGTCGATGGCGGACATGCGTCTGTTTCTCGCGTACTCTTGCTGGTCTTTCTCAACTTATTTGTGAATAATTATGACTCAATAATGATAAAAATTATTGTTAGAGGTGTAATTAATTATTTATGAGATGATATTTTAAAATTATTATTTTTTTAAAAGGTCTGATGTACTTACGTGGGTTTAACTCTCCCCAGTCCGGATCCTCCTTCGTGCCTCTACGTTTTTTGTGATCTCTGAGAAGGAAAGAGGAATTCAGATTATTTAGAATTTTTTTGTGGGACGGAAAATTTAAGCAAAACTTCAATTAAGTATGTTACAGACTTGTGTTTCAAAAGACTCCTAAAATCTAATCCAGAATCTTTAGGGTCTGTTTAGCAAATGTAATTTTTAAAATTAATTGAAATAAAACTCTACTCATTTATTCACCAATCTATCTACCCACCCAAAAATTTTTCCATTTTTCCATCAATTCATTTATTTATTCATCCATCAAATTTTTTTCAAATCCACTCACCTTTAACGAAAACCGAAAATCCAGCAAATTCCAAAGTTTCCTCTCCGTTCTCATCCTCAACTTGAACTCTGAACTTTGACTCGTCGCTCTGCTTGCACTTTTTCATCTCGACAGAAGCGTACAACTTGACGGGGTCAAAGACGATGGTGACTCTGGGGTCAGTTTTCATCGGGATGGCCCCTCTGTACCAGTCGACGTTCGGTGGCTTTTGTTTGAAGGTGCACTCAACGAACATAGTCTCGCCTGGTTGAGTTTCGGAGAAAATTTTCTCTCAGGTTTTATTTTGTAATTGCTGTCACTATCTTCTTTATTCTCCTCTACAACTTGCGATAATGCTAACATTTGTGATACCAGTACGTACATGCGTTCTGCATCTTTGTGGTACTACTAAAATTGTACTATAATATAAAATCGAACGATTATATTACTACCACTGCTTCTACAGCAGCTGCTACTACAAATGCTGCAGTTAGCGATGAAAATAATACTGACCAATGTTGACCACTTGGTTCTGAGGTTTGGTCAGGAAGTATTTCATTTCCTCCTCATCTTCATCCGGGAGTTTGCTTCCTCGACGTTTAAGCTGTGAATTTATAATAATAAGGATTTTTATTGTTTATATTAATTTATAATAATAATAAAGATTTTTATTGTTTACTTTTAGTGTTTGTAATGAAAAAATTATCGTTATTATTACTAAGTTGTTAATTAAAAATTAGTTGAGTAATATTTTTTAAATTGAATTGAAGTTAGAAGTTTATACCGGGTCTCCATCGACAACTGCTGAGCCTGAGGTAGAGTAGGTGACAAGTAATTTAATGAATTAAGCATGTTGTCATGATGAAAATGTTTTCATATAACAATTATCATAATTTAAAAAATGATGATTCGCTGTATTGAAACATTTCAGCTAAATATCTCCCTCTGAAAAAAAAACCTCTGAAAAAAGATTTTCCACTGGTAAAAAATGGCCAAGATCTTCTAAAATACGTCCCACCGTGTAAGGAAAAATGCTCTCTCCCCTCTTAATATAAGATTACTCAGTCATTCTAAGATAAAATTATTCTCCTTAAAGAATTCCTTTTTGGGCCCTTCCAGAAAGTTCATTCTTTAAAAAAACTTGGCCCTTTTAAAAGAAATGCACTCCATCTTATAAAAAATAACCTCTCCTAGATCCATCGGGCGAGTTGCCGCCATCAACGACGATCGAAGGAATGCCCTGAGGCCCCCCTGGCCCCACAGGGGCCGTCGGTAACTTGGGGACGACGATGGATCCTGGAGATGGGTGTGATAGGATGATGGCGATGACGGCGATGATCGAAAGAACGATGATGATGATGATGATGGTGATGATGATGAGGATGATGATGATGATGGTCAGGGTTCTGGTTAGGTGGTGGTCTGATACTAGTACAATTCAAACGACATCTTTAACGATTTTCAAAATTCAAAACACATACACGCACGTACACACACACTCACGCACACACTTACATACATATAAATATATATATGTTAGAGTAAATTAAGATAAAATATATACAAATTAGAGACCTCTGGAACTCCTGGACCCGCGAGGGCCCAGCTTATTTGCATCGAGGGCATCTCCGGGTTTAGCCACCACGGAACTTCTTTTGTCTTTTAACACTTTCTTCAATTCCACAGTCTGTTTTGAAAGTCATAATTTCATTTCAGTTGTAATAATTATAAATTATGATAATTATAATTATTAATATTATTTCTAGTGCTGTCAGTCAATACTCACTTCTCCTTCTGCTTCGGTTTTTGAGAATTGTTTAACTTTTCCTTGGAGTTTTTCAGGTACTGAGTGATTGGATGAATGAACGAATGAACGAATAAATGAAAAAAAATGAATGAATGAACGAAAGAATAACGTAAAAAACGAATGAATGAACGAACGTATTAAGATAGATGAATGGAGTTCATTTAAATATTATTCAAGGCATGGAAAAAAGAATGAAGGGATGAACGATCGCACGAACGGATGAAATATTTGTTAAAAGCAATAACTTAACTGGAATGCTATACCGATACATTAGAAAACTGAGCAGAGAAATTCATAAACAAAACTATTAATATCATCATCATCGTCATCATCATCGTCGTCGTCATCATCATCATCCTATTAAGAAATTATGATTATAATTAAATCATCACACAACCATAATTATAGTCATAATTATTAACAACCGAGAACTCTGATGATAAAACATTGAAATCAAAATTTTCAAATCAGAAAAATAAATTTTTACGACTGACTTTAGTCGAAAAATTTTTCAAATAAATTAATGTGTGTGTGTGTGTCTGTGCGTGTGTGTGTGTTTCTGTGTGTGTGTGTGTTGCAATCTAAAAATTATTATATTTATTTTATAGGCAGGTATTTAGTTATGTCTGCATGTAAACAAATATTATTATAATAGTAATAATAATAATAACAATAAATTGTTTCCTTAAGATGTTAGCTGTTCCAAGCAAGCAAATGTAAGGATTTGCATTTTTCTGTCTGAGTATGTGTGCATGTGTGTGTATGAATGTTTGAACATGCGTGTACATGTGTCTATACGTAGGTATGTATGTTTGTATGTGTGTGTGTTTATGTATGTATGTTTGTATGTGTGATTGTATGTATGTTTGTATGTGTGTTTGTATGTATGTGTGATTGTATGTATGTTTGCATGTGTGATTGTATGTATGTGTGTATGTATGTTTGTACGTACGCATTATTGCCTGTATGTTTCTCGTTTACATGAGCTCCATTGTTGTTCAAACTATACCGCTGTGAAGTTATTAAGCCAGCTCGATATGTATGGGTAGGAAAAAAATAGACAAAAATAAGAGGGAGAGAAAGAGAGAGAGAAAGAGAGAGAGAAAGAAAGAGAAAAAGAGAGAGAAGAAAAGAGAGAGATGAAGAAATAGAGAGAAAAGGGAATAAAGAGAGAGAGAGAGAGAGAGAGAGAGATTATAGAGGGAAAACTTCATACTAGAGAATGGAAACATCTGAATGCAAAAAATACAAAAAGCGGAGCAACATCTGAAAAAAATATAAAAACACGAGAGAGGAAGAGAGTGAGAGAGGGGGAGAGAGTTAGTAGAAGGATAAAAAAAGGAATGAATTAGTGAGATAGTGGAGCTTTGAGGTGAGAGTAAGCAAGGATGGTATTGTTGTTGTTGTTGTTTTTGTTGTTCATCTTGCATTGCAGTTATACAAGCGGTCTAAAAATAATTCGGATGTATTCGGCGAGAGATGCTGATGCTTCGAGTGAGAGGATGAAAGAGAGAGAGAGAGAGAGAGAGAGAGAGAGTGGAAGAAGAAAGGGAGAGAAAGAGAGAGAGAGAGAGAGAGAGAGAGAGAGAAATTTATAAGTCGGTGATGATGACGATGACGGCAATGGTAGTAGTTATATTAAAGAGGATGATGATGATGATGATGACGGTGGTGGATATGATGAAGATTGTCTAAAATTTGTTAACACTACTTTGTATCTTTTGGTGAGCTATATCTTTTTGAAACATATACACATATATATATATATATATATATATATATATATATATATATATATATGTGTGTGTGTGTGTGTGTGTGTGTGTGTGTGTGTGTCTGTGTGTGTGTGTCGGTGTGTTTGGAAAAATAATTCATCGAACGTAAAAAACATAAAGGAACTCAATAAAATTAAAGGAACACGTACTATATATATATATATATATATATATATAGGTGTAATTGAAATCATTGAACGAAAATAGAGTAGAGATGAACTGAATGAAATAAAAATGATCCCTCCGTTTCGTTTTCAAACAAAATGAACCATTCACTGAAATCTATCCACTCATTTTTTCACCGTATTACTCTTTAAAAGTACTAACAATTAGCTGGATGGATGGATGGTAAAAATATTAATTGGATAGATAAATTAATGGTAAGATTTTATATTATTATTGTTATAAGACAAAGATGAATATTTTTTTAGTTACATCAATTTGATATTTGCAAGAATCATTAATTAATATGCTGCATGGTCTGACCAGGCGATACAACAACTTCAGCAGCAGCAGCAGCAGCAGCATCATCAACTACTTACGTATGACGTTGACCCGGGCTGTTTGTGTGGCCTTACCGAACTCGTTGACGGCCTCTATTCGATACTCGCCATCGTCCTCACCGTCCGCTTCCATTATTATAAGTTTCGCCTAAGTGCAGTTCAGTTTTCCCGTAATAATTATCATAATTTATTTATTAATTAACATAATCTATTTATAAAACCACGCACCTCTCCTTGAGCAAATGTGATTTTCGAGTTCTTGCTACTCTTAAGTTTCGTCGTGTCATTTCGGAACCACGTGACCGTCAGGGGCTTGGAGCCTGTGACCTTCAGGTTGAACTCAACTTTCTGACCTTGATTGACCGTCTGTCGAGATGATGATGACGACGACGATGATGATGATGATACGTGATACATGGTAAAGATGACTTTGACTGCAAACAATTAGGTTCATTATTATTACTTATGTGATCATTTTAGCGTTTCAAACTCACTTCTCCCTTAATCCCATAATCCCAATTGTCATCATAACTATCATCAATACAATCATCATCATCACCACCATCCTAAGAACAATCATCATCATCACCACCATCCTAAGAACAATCATCATCATCACAACTAACGACGTCATTTATTTTGCCGACAATTTCCGGCGGATCTTCGCTTTTTGCCACTTCCGGTTTAGCAGGTTCCTTCCTACTCAGCGTACGTCTCGATGTGGGTGGTCTACCTGATGATGGTGGTGATGATGATGGCGAAGATGATGATGATGATTGATGATGATGATGATGACGACGACAACTAACTCGACATTTTGGCAAGCTGGACTACCTAGCACGGATATAAACAAAGGGCACAGAAAACCAAGGTAGAAAATTCTATTTGATAAAAATACTCTCTCTTTCTTTCTCTCTCTCGCTTTCTCTCTCTCTCTTTCTTTGTTTTATTATTATAGTTGTTATTATTATTATTTTCTGTGATGGGGATGACGATGACGACTTTGCGTGCTGCTCGGCTAATTTATCTACGTTGAGGCACTTTGGTGAAAAAAAATTATTATTATTATTACTTATTATTATTATTATTTATTATTATTATTATTTATTATTATTATTATTATTAATTATTATTATTATTTATTATTATTTTAATTGTTAGTTAATATTATTACTATTAATTTTTAGAATTCGTTATAATATTGTTCAACGTTATCTGCCAGTTAGTTAAAATCATAATTAAATAATAATAATAACATGATAAAAATAATTTGAAATAAATATAATAATAATTATTATTGTTGTTATTGTTTTATATAATAATATTATTATTATTTAAAATTATAGTTAACCTGGCCGTTGAATTAAATGGATCTGATGTCTTGTGCGAAAACTTGTTAGTGTAAAATTATTTGTCTCTAAATTGTTGTTGTTGTTGATGTTGTTGTTGAAGTTGTTGTTGATGTTGTTGTTGATGTTGTTGTTGAAGTTGTTGTTGATGTTGTTGTTGATGTTGTTGTTGAAGTTGTTGTTTCTGAGTCAGCTATTGTTCTTGTCTAAAAATTCTGCGTAAAATTTTAGGTGTAATTATTATTTTCATATTATTGTTCTTTATTCTTTGTTATTAACATTTCATTAACGTCATCATCTACAACAACAGCCACAACAACAACAACAACAACAGCCACAACAACAACAACAACAGCAACGTCATCACCATCATCATGATTAAGTTTTGAAGTCGTTGTTTGTTGATAGTTCGTATTTGATGAATGTAATTATGAATGCTTTGAACGAATTTTAGTATTGTTGCTGTTGTTGGTGGTGATGATGATGATAACGATGTTGTTGTTGATGATGATGATGATCGTTAATGCCCTTGTGATAGTAGTTTGTTTAGTTGGTTAAAATATATCGCTTAAATCCAATTTTGCAATTGAATTTTAGCAAGAAAATCTCAACTGATCAACCATCCAATCAACATCCAACCAGTCAGTCGGCCAGCCAATCAACCAACCAGCCAATCAACCAACCAGCCATTCAGTCAACCAGCCAATCAGAATCAGTCAGCCAGTCAACCATCTAACCGTGTTATCTGAGCAAGCAAATTAAGCAGATATATATGTATCAGTCAATCAATGGATCAGTGGGTTGGAGATGGAAAATTGGTCTATCTTGAATTTTTCTTTAATGTTTTACTTAGCCCCTCCTGATAACTAAATAAAAAAAATATTATTATTATTATTATTTTTCTATTAATGTTAGTAGTAATAATAATTATAATCGTAGTAGCAGTAGTGTAGAGATGCACCAAGTATTTGATATTTGGCATAAGATCGGCACCGAATTCAAAGACCGAATAGCCTGAATAGTCCAACTTTCGTTTAGACTATAACTCGGGTGAGATTTCAGAAGATTAATCGTTGATTGATATCGGCGGGAAACATATTTGTTCACCATGGCTGCTAAAATTTCTGAGTTCGTGTCGAGATGGAATATTATCTCGACAAAGAATTCTTAGCGGGACGCTGTTTTTTTCATATTCGTTCTTCTCTGCTTTGACCGACGAATATTGGATCAAATATTCGGCTATTCGGTGCATCTCTAAATAGTAGTAGTAGCAGTAGTAGTAGCAGTAGTAGCAGTAGTAGCAGCAGTAGTAGTAGTAGAAGCAGTAGTGGTACTAGTAGTAGTAGTAGAAGTAGTAGTTTTAGTAGTAGTAGTAGTATCATAATGTCTGCAATAACTATTAAATGTAACTATGCAGTAGTTTTGAAATCCGAAATGTCACCATTTGAAAATCGTTTCAAGGTATTTTTAATGCCTGCACTTATCTTCCACTTTCAAACCAGTTATTAAATTAATACTAACAATCGTTCAAAATGAGCTGATTAATCCAACAAGAGCATCAACTAACTTTAACAATAAATTTCACCGATCGTATATATAGATGCCGAGTATTACCGAATATTTTTACCGAATATTTTTATCGAATATTATCGGATATTATCTATTTAATTCCTTTTTCTTTCTTTCTATCTATCCTGACCCCAGCTAACCAACGCTGACGGATTGACTGACGGACTAACAACGGACTCACGGATGGATGAGAGTACGGATGGATGGATGGATGGTAAGAAAATAGCATAAATATATATATATATATACACTTATATAAACTTATATATACATATACATTCATATATATATATATAACTATTATATATAATATATGTATATATATTGTATATGCTTATATGTGCATATATGAGCGGTTGAATTCTAAAGATGCCAGCTAGCTCCAGCAATCTTATATAGAGTTTTGAAAGCTTGTTCTTATTATTTCTGTTGTTCATTTTGTTATTATTATTCTTATTGTTGTTGTTGTTTTTGTTGTTGTTATTGCTTTGGATGTTTTTATTCTTTATGGTTCTGTCGTTTTTGTTGTTGCTCTGTAGTTCACTTTAGTTAGATATGTGTGTGTGTGCGTGTGTGTGTGTGCATCGTGTGTGTGTCTGTGTGTGTGTTTGTGTGTGTGTCTGTCTGTCTGTGTGTGTGTGTGTGGATGGATCAATAGAATAATAAAAAATAAAAGAAAGAATGATGTATATAGACGATTAAAAAAAGAACCAGTGAACGAACTATAGAATGAATTATCATCATCGTCATCATTACCGTCTTAAGTTCGCCATCATCCACTAACAATATCATCGTCAGCCTCATCATCTTCATCATCCTCATCATCATCATCTTCATCATCATCTTCATCATCATCAGCAGTATCTTCATCTTCGTCGTCGTCACTCAATCTGTCTTGGTTCGTCATAAATCATCATCTCAACCTTCTAATGATTCCATATAAACGATTGTGACGATGATGAAGAAGATGACGATGATGAAGAAGATGAGGATGATGAAGAAGATGAAGATGAGGATGAAGAAGATGGCGAAGATGAAGAAGATGAAGATGAGGATGATGAAGATGGCGATAAAAAATTTTTCTTAGAAGTTAAACAGAAAATGATATTGGTAATGATATTTTATATAAGTCCTAATATATCTCTGTATCGATAGGGACGATAACGAGATACTATCATCGAGAACATCAGTATCATCATCTTCTTCTTCTTCATCTTCTTCTTTTTACTCTTCTTCATTATCATCATCGTCGTCGTCGTCATCATCATCTCAAAAAAATCCATTAAGTAGCATCACCTTAACGATGGATGGATAGATAGATGAGGACTAATTTTAAGATACTGAAAATAATAATAACAACAACAACAAAAACAATAATAATAACAATAATAAAATAATAATAATAACAACAACATTTATTATCATTACATTCGTGATTTAAACTTCCATTGATGTTATTACCTCTCCAAACTCTATCAGACTATCATTGCCATTGAATAATTACACTCATCATCGTCATCTTGCTCCTCCTCCCCCTTATTATTATTATTATTATTATTGTTGTTGTTATTATTATTATTATTATTATTATTATCGTCATCGTCATTAAATCATAACTACGTCCTTTCGTTAGCGTTATAAATAACGATAGTATATACATACGTTATCGCAAATAATAATATTATTAATATTATTGTTATTGTTATTATTATTATTATTATTATTATTATTATTATTATTATTATTATTAGGCTTTTCCCTGGCTTATAATTTATGATATTTATATTCTGCCTTAATAACAGCGTCTAATATCTTATCAACATCAACGTCGTCTTCACCATACGTACGTATGTAACGTTGCTGTTTTAAACTAAGATTGCTGTTATTGCTGTTGTTGTTGTTGTTGTTGTTGTTGTTGCTGTTGTTGTTGTTGCTACTCTGATGATTAGGTTATTATTATTATTATTGTTATTGTTATTGTTTATATTATTATTATTATTATTATTATTATTATTATTATTATTATTGCTATATTTCTGCTGGGTTGAGAGCATTGATGTGATGCAGAAGAAGAAGGGTGTGCTGCTTATAAATTAATTTTTAAATGTAAGAACGTAGAAGATGAATGAAGATGATGCTTAAGATGATGATAACGATGATGATAATAATAATAATTATTATTATTATTATGCTGATGGTGATATATATATATATATATATATATATATATATATATATATATATATATATATATATCAGTAAAGAGAGAGAGAAAAAAAAGGAGAGAAAGAGAGATGTTGCTAAATGATGTTTATTATATGTAAGTATTGATATATATTTCAAGATTTGTTATAGTTCAGTATTTAATTCTAATCTTCCAAGCACATGGTACCCTAAAAATAATTATTGTTATATTTTGTTGGCTTTCCATAAAATGTTTACTAAGTAAATATGAAACTAAACTGTCCGGCTGTTTCAAAATAAACACAGCTGTTTTCATTTTCGGACGTTTAATTTTCCTAATTTGCGAAATTTAGTGAATTAGTGTTAATTTATCGATCATAATCGTCGTTAAGGATCTATTTTTTTGCATTTTTCATCTTCTTTAGGCCTGCTAATTACATTTTATAACGTTGCTGTTGTAACACCCACGCAGTGCAGTTAATTAAATTAAAAGTAAGATTTATTATTTTATTTTAAAATTAAAATTATAAATTTTATGGACAAATTTTAAAGTTTTAAAATTTAAAGTAAGTTAACAATGCAATGAAAAACAAAAAAAATTAATCTGATGATTAAAAAGCTGATTATTTCAAAGTTTAATTTTTAAATTTTTAATATCTAATTTATTTTTACATGCTAAATTATCACCACTTACACTTAGACGGACATAATAGTGGATGTGAAACAGTAGCGAAGTGAGAGATAGAAAGAGCATGGCTGCCTCGACTTCGGAGGACATCATTCCGAGCTGTGATGAAAGTTACTACAACGACGATGATGAAGATGAAGATGATGTTGATGGGCTCAGTACCACTGATGTACGCCATCTTAAAAGATGGGCCCCGCTGGGTTCCAATGCTTCAAGTTCGCCTCAGCCTAACTTCTCTGAAAGAAGGTGATTAGATCTTTTTTTCAGTGATTTTAAATGAAACTTTCTAATCAGAAATCAATGATAGATTGCTTGATTTAAAATATAATTTCACATAAAAAGCCAAATATAGTTATGATATAACTAGACAGATCTTTCAAATTTCTCTGATGGATGTAGCTAACTTGACACACACATTCACACATGCCCCTCAGCAGAAATTCAGCTGAGCAGGATAGGATGGAGAAGTTGGAGGAAGAGCAGGAACAGCTGAACATGTCGCTACTCTCACTTACTACGCATTTTGCACAAGTCCAGTTCAGGCTGAAGCAAATTGTTGATGCCCCCAACAATGAAAAAGAGGTTAGGGGTCAAATTATCTGGCGAGCCAGGTCACTCATGAATTATGATTAATTTATCCTTGAAATTATTGAAATAATTTATTCATATTTATTATCAGGTGCTGTTGAAAAATTTAGAAGAATTTGCATTCAAGGGAATCCCAGATTTGAATGCATGCCATGAACTTAAGAAAAAGAAACAGTCAGATGATATGGTGAGGGAGGGATGGATGGATGGAACTAACAAATGGATGAATGAATGGATGAATGAATGATTGACAGTCTGACAAGGAGCACGACAACCTGATAACAAAACAACGAGAGAAGCAGATGGAACTGATCAGTCAGCTGAAGTCACAACTCGAAGACCTCGAAACTTTTGCTTATGAGGTGAGCTATACATTCACATATCATCACTATGATCATCATCGCCATCATCATCACCATCATCATCGCCATCATCATCGTCACCATCAGACTGGGGAAGCCAGTATAATGCCGACAAGTCGAATTCTGGAGAAGCAGAAGGTGGTGATCGATCAGCTGATGAAGAAACTCTCGTTGAAAGATCTGGAACATCTCGATCAGTTGAGGTCTGTCTGTCTGTTTGTCTGTGATTGAATGAATGAATGAATGAATGAATGAATGAATGAATGAATGGACCGAGAATGAATGAACGAAGAGTGTATGAATGGATGCTGGAACGAATGAAAGAATGTGCTTACTGATGAATGAATGGATAAATTAACGGCAGAATATCCAGATGGATGAATGAGTATCATTATTGAAAACAGTTCGGAGCAGTTGTGCGAGACGATCGATCGAGCGATTGGTCAGATCCTCTACCCCGGCAAGGTCAAGGAGAAACTCGTCGACCAATTGAAAACCCAGATCACCGACCTAGAGAGGTTCATCGAGTTTTTGCAGGGTCTGCTCTACTTAGTATTATTATTATTATTATTATCATCATTATTATTATTATTATTACGTCATCATCATCATGAACAGGCGACAACAACGGCAACAACAACAACAACAATACCATCATCAACAAGAATGACTACAACAACAACAAAATGAACAGAAACCAATGCACTTGCGGCCATGTTAGTCCTGATGATGAGGCTGTTGTTGGTGTCGGTGGTGATGATGATGGTGAGGATGATGATGGTGAGGATGATGATGATGATTTTTTTCGTTTACAGTCCAAACAAAATGAGAAAGATTATGGCTGTAACTCTGGAAGCCGAGCTGATAGTAAGGTATCAATTGAGACGAATGAACGAAAGATAGATGAATGAATGGTTGAATGAATGGTTGAATGAATGGTCGAATGAATGGATAAATGAATGACATTCATACACACGCACGCACGCACATACAGCGTCTCAGAGACCAGACATCGAGTCTGATGAGGCAGGCTGCAACGGCTCTGCAGATCTTCATCATCACTCAGTTCGGTTGCGGAGGCAGTGGGAAGGAATTCCAGAAGAACCTGCTGAAGAGGACCAGCAGGGGCAACCATTGGGGGTCGGTCCCATTCTCTGGATGACGTCATTTTGTCGTTGTTGATGTCGTCGTTGTTGTTGTTGTTGTCGTTGTTGTCAGGACGACGACGATGGTGATGATGGTTGTTATGATGATTTGGACGGAGATTTTGATGATGATGATGATGGTGAGTAGGATCTGGATTGTGGTGATGTGTAATCGTCATCATCATCATGTCATCATCGCCATCATCATCATCGTCATCATCATCATCGTCAGAGATCTGAGAGCTCGTTTAGAAATATCTATAAGCCGAATTGTTGAACTGTGCAACCTGAGGACAAGAAATAGAGATGCTGATGTTGATGCTGGAGGGGACGCCGAATCCGGTGAGATAGTGATGAAGGTGGCGAAGAGAAGGAAGAGGAGTTCTACAAACTCTTATGATGAGGTGATGACGACGATGATGATGATGATTATTTGGCTGATGTGGTTGAACGTCTGGCTGGCTGGATGGCTGATCTATCGAATGTTCGTTTGGCTGGTTGATTGATTGATCGGTCGGTTGGTTGGTTGGTCGGTTGGTTGGTTGGTTGGTTGGTTCTAAGAAAATTATCTTTTCTGTAGATATATATATTATATTATAATAATTATAATTATAACGATGATCAGTCGTTTGAGGATGATTGCGACATGGAGATAGTGAATGCAGTTCGGAAAGATCTGGCTATATCATTGAGGGACCTCATGCAGCATGGATTGGTTGAGGTGGGTTGGTCAGTTGGTTCATTCATTCATTCATCCATTCATTCATTCATCAATTCATTCATTCATCCATTCATTCATTCATTCATTCATTCATTCATTCATTCATTCATTCATTCATTTGTTATAATGATTACTTTTTCCATCACAATGATCATCACAATCATCATCATCATCAGTTGGAGCACAGTCAAAGCATTGTCCCGTTTGGATGCTTCTCATCTCGAAACAGCAGCAGCAGCAGCAAGCTGAACAGCAGTGGTGGTGGTGGTAGCGGCGCTGGTAGCGACATGATGCATGCCTGGCAACTATTTCTCAAATATTATCGAGTTAAAGTTAGTATTGGTGACAAGCGATGATGACACACGATTTGTACTGACGATCATCTTCATCATCATCATCTTCTTTATTTTCGTCATCATCATCGTCATCATCACCATGACAGCATGGAAAGAAGTACAGTGAGGCCCCGGCTAGAAAGTTGTCCATGGCTTTCGGGCTGGAGAGTGTCGGTGGAAAGGTTATGACCCCGAAACAGGTGCATTCTATATGAATGAGTGAATTAATTCAAGATTGATTGAATGAAACGAACGAATAAATGAATGAATGAATGAAACGAACGATGTAAGGTAGGAATGAGTGTGCTTTCTGCTCTATGCATGACATGGCACTGCTCTATAATATAGCAATCTAATCTTAGAATGAATCATTCTTTCATCTTGACCTTAAATTTAACTTTTCACCCTGATCTTAAAATTAATCCTCCAGACCCTGCTGACGGCCATTGAGATGGTCTCCAGCACGCACCAGCCCCTAAAACGCAACGACGATTCGCAGTTTAAGGCGTTCATATGTCTAGCCCTCAAGTAACTAATCATAATTACCGTAATTTTCATAATTGTAATATAATTTTTATAATTATAACTATAATTATGACCATAATTATTAATATAAATGTGGGTGTTATTATTATAAACGTTGGTTTTTTTTTATTTTAGCCAAAAGAAATTGGTTTCCTGGTTACGAATCATGCTTCGATGTGAGTGGCTGGTTGAATATTATTACCAGCCATGGAGTTATGTCGTTAAGACTGGTCGGTTGGTTGATTGTTTGGTTGGCTGGTTGGTTGGTTGGTTGGTTGGTTGATTGGTTGGTTGGTTGGTTGGTTGGTTGGCTGGCTGGCTGGCTGGTTGGTTGGTAGTTGGTTGGCTGGTTGGTTGGCTGGTTGGTTGAATGAAAGAATAGAAGGATTTTAATAAAGAAACAATCTTCCATTCAATCACTCATCCATTAATTTATTTAAATCATTCCTTTCTCAGGTTATTCAAACAATTTATCAAATGTTTATATACTGAAAAATATTTCCACCAATCATCTTCAAGGGTTCAACGACGCTCTCATCTCATTGGACAATCTCTCAAAAATCGACTTTGACCTTCCAACCGACCTGGCAATTCGACCATTTTTGAATATAAGGGACGCTTTCTGATTGGCTAACGATTTAAAGCTATTTTGATTGGTGCAGAAATTTTCAAAACTGATTTTATCATTCATTTTATGTTTGTGCTGTTTATTTATTTGCTTGAGTTTAATTTATTCTTTTAAGGATTATTTTTTCACTTTCAACAAGGCGTACGATGCTGGCGGCTTGAATACTACTAAGAAGGGTGGGCGTGATAACGTTATTGTATTTATTATTCTTCATGTTGACGTTATTTTTCTGTCTATGTCCTTGATGTTGTTTGTCAGTCTAACTGCTCCATTCATACATTCCTTACGTTCAAGCTTTCATTCCTTCGTCATTTTCAAATTATTCAGCCATTCATTCATTCTTTAAAATTTCATAATATTTTTATTATATTTTTGGATATTATGTATAATATAGATTGTAAAGTGATGACGATTATGACGATGGTACGTTCTTACATGGTTCGCCCGCTGATGAGAAAATTTCGTTGATATATTTGTTGATACATTTTAAAATATTAAGTTGTATTTGAATCAAACGAAAATTAAAATTCATGTGGTTTGGTTATAAAACATCTTTATAATCTATTTCTTTGCTTGTAATGAGTATTTATTTCATAAATTTGATACACAAAATCACTTGGGAACAACGAAATATTTGCGTTAGCGTTGAAAAAACATGAAAAACAGGTAGGAAATTCGAATCAAATTTTTGAAACTTTGAGGCCCAATATCTTCGAAACTACTGATCAGAATTGGAACGACTTTTTTTTCGGCAAAGAAGCTTTAATGAAGAAAATAAAAATTGACCAGACGAATATTTTGAGAGGTCGAGCGTCAAAATCGGTCAAAGTTAATTTTTCCCAAAATCCACGGCCAATTTTTATTCAGCTGACGGCATTTATCTATTTCCTCTGTTATCTATCGAATGTATCTAAACAAATTTTGTCATCTATCGAATGTTTGTAAACTTTTTTAAATTTAAATAAAAAAGATTTTTAACTTGTTATATTATAAATTCTAATAATAAATTATAATTTTTTCATTACAAAAAAATAATTAAACAAAGTACAAAAATCAGATTTAATTTGAATCAAACGTGAACATTGAAACAATTTTTTTTAATGCAGCGCTAAAAAATTTAAAAAAATTGTAAACAATAAAACCCAAAATTGTTTATAATGATTAACTGCTAATTGCAGGCTTAAATACAAAGATTTTTTAAATTTAAAAACGGATTTATTTGCAAAAAAAAAATACCAAATACTAAATCTTTAATTAAATTTTTTCCGAAATTTATTTTTTATTTTAAAATTTAAAAAAAATTGGAGTGTTTTGTTATTATTTACTTTTGAGCAATAAATGTTGTAGCGCCTAATAATAATTTTTGACTTCATTTACTAACATTTACTTTTTGTCACTTTTTTTATAATTTCTTCAATTATATATTTTTCTTTATATAAAAAAATTTATATATCAAAAATATGGTGAAACGCTGTTCTATTCAAAAAAACATATATTTATCTATTGAAACAAAAATTCATAAAACCGGTACGAAGTATAAAGTTGTATATCCCTGTATAAAGCTGATAGTTGTTTTTTTTACTAAAATTCATGCAGTGCGTAACCTCGTGAGCATAGGAATGTTTCTTTTAAGTTGAAGTATGTGAAAAAAGTTTAAAGAGTGAACGATATTTTGTGTGACGTCACGGTCACCCATCCAAATTGCAGGCCGGGACCAACGAACGAGTTAAGCAATGATGGAAACCGATAATAATTAAACGCTTGTTATTGATTTCGTGATTTTGAGTTCATCATAAAAATTCTTTGCAACTTGAAAACAAATTCATGATAGAATGCGACAAGCATTTTACGGAGGGGTCGGTGGGGTGTTGAAAATATTTCCAATCGAAATGTCCCTCATTTGTAAGTTCAACTGTTTCGTTGTACGTTCACATTTGATGGTGAGTTCATTACAGAAGATGGCGAGAGTCTATTCAATCACTCGTGACAATCTGCAAACTAACACAAACAAAAGTTTTCAGCATAAAAAAAAACAATAAAACAAAACCACACTCAGTCCAACAACATCAAAAATAAATAGATCAAAAGCGTGAACAATGAAAGCCGGAAGTGTTCCTACAAATCCTAATTGATCACGTGTATCTCTTCAATAAATCACGTGACTTGTGAGTGACGTACGCTCATCGGAGTACCAAAGATATTCAAAATATATGTGGGGCTTTATGTACATTCTTTATTTCTTAATTTATTACGTAGTTGGTACGTTCCGATCAGCGGTACTACTAAAGTTAAAAATAATGCAAACCTGTGATAAAAAAAAGACCTTTCATGTGTGCGTGTGTGTGTGTGGGTGTCTTCATCTTCTACTTCAGAATCATCATCATTAACACCATCATCGTCGTCGTCATCATCATCATCATCATCATTCCAAAGCATATATCGATTGCTGTGGCCAATAGATAGCAAGTTTGAATATGTATGCTAATATATTATATATATATATATATATATTTGTGTGTGTGTGTGTGTTTCATACAAATACATGAATAGCATGGCTTTATGAAAGTTATATAAGGAGGTATATTTTGTTTGGGAGGATAACTTTCTTTTAACGCGAAGACGATGATGGCAGTGTTAACTTGGCTGGATCAATAATAATCATAATCATCATAATCATAATAATCATAATCATAATAATCATAATAATAATAATCAATTGTTTTGTATTTCGATTTAGAGATGAATCTGTCGGATATGTAACGATATAACTGTTTGGATAAAATCAATTTTCCCCATCATCATCATCATTATTATTATTATTATTATTACTACCACTACTACTACTACTGTAGTTTTCGTCATCATCATCATCATCACAACCACCGTCCACAATGATGACGTCAGAGGCAACATTATCAGCAATATGAATAAAAATGACAAAAACGTTCTACCTGTAATCGTCAATAATAGTAATAACAACAACAACAATAACAACAACAACAATAACAACAACAACAATAACAACAACAACAATAATAACAACAATAATAATAATAATAGTAATAACAATAGCAATGTCAGTTCTGCCAGTAAGCCTCCATTAGTTCGAGATGAATGGCAAGTTACAATTTCATCCTTAGCTTTTTACTTCAACGAATTTTGTTATAATCATCATCATCGCCGTCGTGGCATCATCATCATCATCATCATCGTCGTGACATCATTATCATAGTGTCACCGCCACCACCATCATCATGGTCATGATGATGTCATCTTCATCACCATCATTACAACAGTGTGGAGAAGTACAAGAATCATTTTTCTTTTCTGCGCGATTCGAAGTTCCTTGAAGATCTGGAGGGAGACAGTGTGGACTCTGATATCATTGAGGAAGAGTTGACTGCACTACAAGATACTGCTATCAGGTCGGTTCATCTGATTGGTTGGTCGGTTGGTCGGCCCCTGATTGGTTGGTCGGTTGGTTAATCCCTGATTGGTTGGTCGGTTGGTTGGTCGGCTCCTGATTGGTTGGCCGGTTTGTTCGTTGATTCTTTGATAAATTGGTTGGCTGATCGCTGATTGGTTAGTTTGTTGATTGGCTGGTTGATTGATAGCTCAGATAATTCAAATACAGAATGATTCTTCAATTTAAAATGAAATAGGCACAAAACTAACACAAACACCCAACATCAACGTAACACGCTCACAACATTAACATGGTATTAACCAAAATTTTACCATCATTAGCATAGTTGTGCCTATAATTAACATAAAATTAACATAAAATAAACATAATATTAACATAAAATTAGCATTAAATTAACATTAAAAAGCTCGAGGGAGAAAGTAGCGAAGTTCTTGCAGAGTAACCCGGTTCAATTCCTGCTGTGCATCGTCGTCTTGCTCGATGCTGGCATTGTTATAGCGCAAATTTTACTGGATTTAAATTCGGTTAAAGGTGAAAATACAAAAATTTGTTTTTTTTGTGTTTTTCATTTGTAAGCTCGTTCACTCACTCATTCGTTCATTCATCTATTCATTTTTTCAATTCATCTATTTATTTGTTGTAATTCATTTAAATGTTTGAAGTCACCTTTAAAAACTTCTGTATATATAATTCATGCTAAATGCGTATTTCATACATATACACATATATACGCATACGCATACACACACATACATACATACATACATACATACATACATACATACATACATACATACATACATACATACATACATACATACATAGTATATATTTTAGCAGTCAACATTATTGATCTAGCCGTGTGACAAGCAAGCTTAAAGCTGGAGATGTGTACAACTATGCATTCATGCATACACATACATGTACATTCAAATGTATGCATGTGTGTATATTTGTGTGTGTGTGAGTATGTATGTATGTTTATTTGTATGTGTGTGTATACGTATTTATGTGTACGTGTGTGTGTGTGTGTGCTTAATTTATTTGGCGCTCAATCAATAAATTTTTTTCCACGCTCCCATCTTCTGAAAGCATCGCCACTCTTCGACCCACGCACTCTTCCTCATTTTTCATTATTTCATTAATCTTTCATTCATCCATCCAATTATTCCTTCATTCAATCATTCATCCAATAATTCATTCATTCATTTGTTCGTTTATTCATTCATTCGTTCGTTCGTTCTTCGTTCCGTCTTCGTCATTTCAAGTTTCATTATTTCTTCACTCATTCATTCATTCACTCATGCACTCTTCCATTAGTTCACCCACCCACCCACTCACTCATTCATTCCTTCACTTTCACTCCTTCAGACAAATTGCACAAGCGAGAGCAGGACCTGACTAGATTGCTGGAGTACGTGAATCGAACGCATGCCTCCCAACTCAGAGGCTACACCGGCCACAATGTCAATACGATTCTCAACCTGCTCCGACAAAACGCCACCCTGCGAAGAATCGATTCCAAATCGAATACCGGTAAAATTCGCCATCGCCAGTATTCGGATCGGGAGGTCCATTACACTAATCATCATCAGCATCGACATCGTAGCAGTCAAAAGGTTCACAGGGATGTTTCTGGTTTCAATGAAAGCGAGTTATACCGGCTGGAAGAATCGAATAATAATAATACTCAAATATCGAATAGTGCCGAATACGGTTCCGCCGGAAATGACGTCAAACTTGATAATGATGACGATACAGATGATGATGATCATTTATTGGATGATGAAGAAGAAGAAGATGATGATGATTTGTTACACAGCATAGCACATGGTTTACACTTTGCCAGTATTGCCATGTTGGGACTTTTGGTTGCAGAAGTGAGTGATTGGTCGATTGATTGGTCATTCTTTCATTCATTCATTAATTTATTCATTCATTCAATCACTCATTCATTCATTAATTTTTCGTATTTTTTATTTATTGAAAGGATTTAATAAAGATAATCGCCATGGGGAAGAATTTCTTCAAGCACAAGATTGAGGTTGCAGAATTTATATTTCCTTCTGAAATTATAAAAATTATGAATATTTTAATAATTATTATTATAAATATAATTTTTCATAATAAAATAAAATTATTCAGATTTTCGACGCCATCATCATAATATTCAGTTTCGCGATCGACATCGTGTTCCTGGGAGGAGTGGCTGGGGAGGAGGGACAGAAGGCTGCCGCGGTCCTCGTCATCTTGCTCCTCTGGAGGATTGCTAGAGTTGTTGATGGTTGGTTGGTTGGTTGATTGGTCGGTTGGTTGATCGGTTGGTTGGTTGGTTGGTCGGTTGGTTGGATGGTTTGTTGGTTGGCTGGTTGGTTGATTGTTTGGTTGACTTGTTGGTTTGTTGGTTGGCTGGTCGGTTGGTTGGTTGGTTGGCTGCTGATTTTGTTTTTTAACGAAAAGAGTTTGTTGTACAAGAACGAATTTCAAAGCAAAAACTCACGAACGAACGAACCAACAAACAGGAATTGTGGTGACGGTGAAACAGAGGCAGGAGTTCCGGATTCGACTGCAGAAGAGGGCTCGGAGGACTGCCGAGAAGAAGTTGGAAGGATTCGAAGAGGAGAAGAATGCAAGAGCGGTGACGACATCTTAAAATGATTTTTTTTTCGCTAGTTTTACAATTTTGAAATTAAAATATTTTAATTTTTTAAAATTTAGAAGCAAATTGAAGCCCTGAAAGACCTGTGCACGAAGGCCGGTGTTGCAGAGGCAGATATTGCAGCTTGCGGACCCAGGCGTTAGTTCAATTTGTCTCATTTTATATGGTAATTATTTCCTCGATTTTAAATTGAAAAATATTGAAACTGTTTTAAAAAATAAATTTCAGACGCCAAGCCAGTGAACACGACACTCTGCGCACTGTCTTCGGTAGCTCGCCTCTCAGTCAGCATGACGATGTTGATGTCGTCGGGCCTCTATCGGCCAAGGAGACCCGACGACAACTGCGACATCTTGCCGAAAGTTTTTGTGCCGAAGTGGGCGAGAGAAAATAATTCAAACGTGGCCGACAAACCTTTGAAGAAACTTTTTGCCTCTGGTTTGTTTCGCCATCAGTACAAAGCGAAAAATGAAAGTTTAGATGGAAGTAGTTGTGGAAGCGGCAGAGTGGGCGCTACATCAATCGCAGGTGGCGCTGGTAGTGATGGCGACGACGAAGATTCATCACTCATTCCGAGGATCGAGAGTTTCCCCGTCATGAAGAAGCATTCAGTGAGCAGGCCGCTCTCCACACCCACCTCGTCTGCTGTCGAAACAATCTTCAACGAGATCAATGAGAAAAATCGCCTGCAGAACAAATCGCACCACCATCCTCATCATCATCCTCATCATCACCATCGTCTCACCAGACTCCGACAGCAAATCGAAGCCGAGGAAGAATTGAAGAGTCGAGAGAAGAATTCCAACAGAAACAAAAGGTCAGTCTCGTCTTCAACATCTCTCTCGAAGCAGCCCGGCAGCAGGAACAGCGAGAACATCGACCTCGATACTTTCGCCCCGTTCAATCGAGTTCATTCGGATATTTCGGAGAACAGCGCTGACACCTCGCTATCTCACTCGCCATCGTCAGAACGGGACAACGGCATCGCAAAATCAAATTCCAACGAAAACGAAACAAGATTCACATCGAGCCCTCCTGCTGTGCAGCCTAACCCGCTGCCGATAGAAGCTGACATCCCCACAAACACCGCCACGGCGACATCGGCAAACCCCGACACGAGATCGGTATTTGGACCGGGGCGTCCATCATTCAAGACGACGGCCTCAACATCGTCGTCGTCAGCAAACGTGAGAACAAAATTTTCTAAAACAAAAAACGAAACTTCATCATCTGCCAGTCGAAGGCCCTGCCAGGTTCGAATCATCATCGATCAAGCTTCCACCGATTCTCATTCGTCTTCCCCATCTCCACCTCTACTTCCGGTTCCGGTTTGTACTGTGACGTCGTCATCCGGAAATGACGAAATAGGGATGGAGAGTCTAATTAATTAATGCAGGTAAAGATAGCGAAAAATTTGAATTCATCAAAACGGGAGCAATGTTTTTTTTCAATTTTAATTAATTTTTTACTTTAATTTTCAAGTTTTGCAGATGTTATGATGATTTTAGACAACTTTTAACACACGTATTTAGTTAATTTTAATGTCATTTCATTTCAATTAATATTGTAATTAAAATAACGTTTATTAGCAATGAAGCAACATTCGTACATTAATAAGACTTTATAGTTGATTCGTTCGTTCATTCGTTCATTCATTCATTCAGTCTATATACTTGACTAAAATAATTTAAGTGGCACGGTACAATAAGTTGAATTCCAAATTGTAGTCCTATTTTAATCTGCCTTACTTGAATACAGAAATAGAAAAAGTTGTCACATCATCCATCCGTTCGTTCACTCGTTCATTCATTCATTCATCTAGCAAATCTTTTTTTGCCCAAACCCAACTCGCAAGACTTGAATCAAATAAAGTTACACTTGTAGAGGTTTTACGAGAAATATTACAACTCGTCCGAGAAACTTCGCAACATGTTCAAAATATTTTACAACCTATCCAGATTTTACAACATCCTTTGTTAGCCACTGAATCCAGCGAGTTCGTTTTATTTCTAACAATAAAACATGTTGTCAAAAATATCTTGGAATTGTTGTAAAATTTCACGGATAAGTTGTATTGTTTCTAGTAAAACCTGCAATGAGTAACTCAAACATTACAAAGTTATACGCACATACAAACACATACAAACGCACAGACACACATACACTAACTTACACATTTTTCAATTCTGGTTGTAACTCTTCAAAAGCAGTACATATGCCAATCCCATTCAGTTTTTTGTACCATTTTGACCTTTCGATACATTTATTATTAAATAATTCAATTAGCAAATGCTGACAATCACATAACCTTGACTTCAATTTTTTGCATTTTTTTGCTGTCATTATAAAATAAATAATATAATTTGAGAGAGAGAAAAAGAGACAAAGAGAGAGAGAGAGGAGAGAGACACGAAAACCAAAATACAATGTTGGTGCCAAACATATTACATACTGATCCACTACATAATGATGAATATTTTCTTAATGTTTTATAAATGTTAGTTGATAATTTTGAGAACTTTATTTTACAAACGTCTTGAATAATTTAGTCTATTGATGTCTGTGTGTGTGTGTGTGTGTGTATGTGTGTGTGAGCCTGTCTATATACATCTGTGTATGAATTTTTGTTAAATATTTTAATCCATATTAACTAAAAATTTATTTTCTCCTCTTATCAATTTTTTTGAACCCGCACTGCTGAATAAGCTGAAGGAGAAACTGATTTAGAAAGTTCTTTTCATTCGTCTCCATCACACTTTATAGTTTTGTATCATACCTAGGTAAGGTCATCATCAAACACACACCTGACAACTAAATATATCATGATTGATATCATTGTGCATCATCGTCACCATCAAATTCCTTGTCAACTTCATTATCATTGTTGTAGACTTTATTATACCAAACATATATATATATATATATATATATATATATATATATATTTATATGTGTGTGTATCTATGTATAGATATATATCTTTTTCTGATATTATTTTACATAAATGTTCACATTTTGATTAAAATTATTTGCTGTGATAATTTCGTTCATTTGTTATTTAGCCAGTTAGCTAATCAATCAGTTAATTAATTTATCAATCAATCAATTAGTTAATTAACTTTTTGTCTCTTTATTTGATAATGTTTAATTTTTTACTAAGAAAATATTCCATTTTTTGATGTTTACAAATAAAAACACATCAAAAAATAAAAAGATATATTGTTATCTTTATTTATTAATATCTTTCGTTTATTTATTAATTATTTAATAATTTCTCATCAAAAGTTTAAAAACGAACTTTAATTAAAACTTCAAAACTGTCATTCAGTCGAAGACTATCTACTGATTGTCCTAATAAAGAAAAGAATAGAAATACATTTAAAACTACCTTCAATCATTCAATAATAAATAACTATAATAATAAACCCTAAAATTAGGGAAAGATAAATAAGTAAGTCCAACATTTTTAATAAGGTCTATGCCTGACTCTCCTAAGTGTAGATATGTCATTATTAGTAGCCTTGTAAATTTTCTTTGGGGCCGTTATTGCTACGTCTAAAAAATCCCCGATCTGAAACTTTTTTGACAACAAGGTGGCAAAATCATCTTGAGTAGCCTGAGTTAGAGAAAAGATATGAATAAAATTATGACTAATAATATGAATTATTATTATCACAAATTCAAGTAATTATAACATGCGGTTAATGTAACAATATTTATAGTTACGACAAAATTAAATTTATTAAAGGTGTGATGGTCATTTGAGTTAAATTTCAGAAAAAAAATAAAAATTGAAAAATTTTATTATTAAATTGAAATAAAACTAAAAAGTAAACTTTCAATCACTAACATTTCCGACAATTGTCTTGCCTATATCTCTCATCTTAAAATTAGGTGACCTTAAATCAGCATAGACCACTGAAAACTCAAACTGTGAACCTTTTTGTCGTCCCTCGTCTCCAAGCGCCCTAATTAGGTTCATCAGTTCTTTCAGTGTGGCATCCATCCTGTGAAAAGATAAAACTTGAAATAAAATTAGATTATTACTAAAAATTATTATTAATGGCATGTCAGAAAAACTACACTATATTATTATAAAATTACAAAGATGATAATTATTAAATTATGAAATAATATAAAGAAATATTTATAAAATATAAATTATTTAAACGAAAATTATAACAGATGAGGTGAGGTAACCATGTGTAGAGTTGAACTTCATGAGAAGGAGTTTTTCCACGTGCGTACTCTGATGTTGAGTTATGACGGCCTTTCCCTATAAAAACCCTCAACAGCACTGGGCAAATCTGAGAATGAGATTAGGAAATTAGGCTTTTGACGTTTATTTTTAACCACTTTCTAGTTTCTTTTAATTATTTTTGTTTTAATTTATTTAAATTTAAATATTATGAGTATAATTATAATATAATTATAATTAATAAATAATTATGAATTATGATCCATAAAAATATTTTCAAAATTTTTCTACCTTCGATCTATCCACGAACTTTTTCGGTTCTTTGACAACATTTTCAACGACGGACTCCATTTTGAATTTTATTTAAAATTAATTTCATTCAAAACTCAAAAGCGACGACGCTTCAAAACAACTTTTTAAGTTTTAGATGTTTAAAAGTAAACACGGATTTATAATCATAGATAACTTATTACATTAGCTATAGCAAAGACCTGATATCATTGATTGACCAAAGAAAAATAATACGAGCTGTTGTATTTATTTATGATATATATTTATATTAAAATATAACGTATCAAATACAATATAATGTCTTTAATGTATATAAGCTCTCCTAGAAAACCACACTCATATACAAACACACATACATACATACATATAAACACACATACATATAAGCATACACACGTATTTAGAAAAATACACACATGTATAAAAAACACATCCACACGCACATGTAGACACACGATCGTCTGGAGAACAAATTTTGGTAGTTTGAGCATGATGATGGTGACAATGACGATGAAGATGATGAAGAAGAAGATGATAACGATGACGATGACGATCATGACGGTGATGATGATGATGATTAGGCAAGTGAAATGTTTCAAACACTTGTTCTAGAACGTTCAATTGTTTTGACTTGTCTTAAAGAATCTGCTTCATTAAGTTTCTTTCATGCGATGCAAACAAACAAATTGATGGATGGAAGGTTGGCTGGTTGGAAAGATGGTTGAATGGTTGTTGTTTGAGTGAGATGAATGAATGAATGAATGAATGAATGAATGAATGAAAGAATGAATGAATGAAAGAATGAATGAATGAATGAATGAATGAATGAATGAATGAATGAATGAATGAATGAATGAATGAATGAATGAATGAATGAATGAATGAATGAATTATTAAATGAATGATTAAATAAATAAATAAATGAATGAATACCTAACTGATGAATTGTTTGATAAAGAGCTTTATAAACACTCAGAACCAGAATCGATAAATGTAAAAATTTTTAGATTGATAACTGAATATGAATATGTATTAATGGATCAAATTTTAGAAGAATAGTGAAAATGTAAAAAAGAAGAAATCGAAAGAGAGAGAGAGAGAGAGAGAGAGAGAGAGAGAGAGAGAGAGAGAGAGAGAGATGAAGAGGGGGAAACAGAAATAAACCCAGAAGCAAACTCACTGACCGAAACAAAACAATTTTCTTACATGATAAATGATACCAATGGAACACACAAACACATGCATACATTACACACGCACACACACACACACATGCACACATATATACAGACAAAGAGGCACATCCTCTAACTCAAAGCTTAATATAAACACATGTTGGGCGTTATTCAAATGTATAAGTATGGGCATCAGTATCAATATTATTTATTTATTTACTTTTCTCGCTAATGTATCTATGTATATTTTGTTTAATGCATCTTTGTTTAACATCTATTTATTCGTCTATCTATGTTTCTTTATCAATTAGTTTGTTTGTCGTTTTGGTATATAAACGCCTGTTGTTAATGTTAAGTTTCACTGTTTTCTGTTAATAAATCTTTGTTCTTTGTTTATATATCTATGTCCATTGTGATTGTGTCTGTATTGTTTTCGTTTAGCTTTTTGTATGTTTGTGTTTGAAGTATATCTCTTTATAAATGGCTTTTTTAATTTTTTAAATTCTATATCTATGCATTTTAGCCAATAACTTTGACTTTATATGTTCTGTAGTTTACTTATCTATGTTTAGACACTATTTTATCTATGTTTATATTTTTTATATCTTTGTTTCAATTATGTAAACATTTTTGTTTACCATTGCTCCTATCAGTTCAAAGAGTAGTTATAATAATCTAGGGTCAGTCAAGAAAGTTGTAGTAATAGTTGCAGTAGCCGCAGAAGCAGCAGCAGCAGCACTAGTAGTAGTAGTAGTAGTAGTAGTAGTAGTAGTAGTAGTAGTAGTAGTAGCAACAGCTCTCTATCCACATATGTTTATATGCTAACAATAATATTTTGAAACATTAACATAACATTGTTTGGGGCCATATTTTTAGGAATTTCTTGCATAAACATCTGAATCGATCATAGATAATAGCAATAATAATAATAGTCTTAACGATAATAAAAACATAGAAGTTTTAATGTTTATGCAATTTGATCTTTATGTAAACATAGAATAGGTAATAAAATGAGGATATAAAAAGCACAATGGAACAATGGTGATGGCCATATTAAGGTCGGAATAATATTTAGAAACAAATTTCTTCTTCTTCCTATTATTATTGTTATTATTTTTATTATTGTTATTTTATTATAATTATTATTATAATTATAGTCGCGATCATCATCATGACCACCTTCACAACATAGATTTGAAATACATATATGATATACATGGAGAGCAAGTGTCCATAACATAGACATGAAATTGAACACGTGATGCCCGAGAAAGTGAAAAATGAGAGAGAGAGAGAGAGAGAGAGAGAGAGAGAGAGAGAGAGAGAGAGAGAGAGGAAGAAATGTAAACAAATAAGATATGATGTACTGTCGGACTATTTATTAGCCAACAGGCTTTTAATTCCTGTCACGGAGATAAAGACGACGACGACGATGATGACGTTGTGATTATAGTTTTAATAATAATATAATAATAATAATAATAATAATAATAATAATAATAATAATAATATAATAATAATAATAATAATAATAATAATAATAATAATAATATAATAATAATAATAATAATAATAATAATAATAATAATAATAATAATAATAATAATAATAATAATATAATAATATAATAATAATAATATAATAATAATAATAATAATAATAATAATAATGATGATGGTGATGATGGTGGCAATGATGATGTTGATAATTTATTTACAAATTGTTTAAACGTGAAACCGTCCGGACGGCTGATTTGATGAGAATGAAAATATTTACAATTGAAAATCCTCACAGCTTTCATCATCATCATCACTGACGTCATCCTTATCATCATCATCATCACTGACGTCATCATCATCGTTATCTTTGTATTCATCATCATCAGCGTTAGAATGTCAGATGTTCATCAATGTTGTCGTTGTTGTTGTTGTTTGTCGTTCCTCACAAACGTCACCATCATCATCATCATCTTCCTCTTTCATCATTTCTTCATCATCATCATCATCATTAAAAACATCTTTACTATCGTCATCATCATTCGATTTCTTAACTGTATCGCTGTTATTGTTGTTGTTGTTGTTGCTGTTGTTGTCTATGATTTTGCTATTTTTGTTGTTGCTGGGACCGTTGTTGTGGTTGTTATTGAGGTTGTTGTTGTTATTGTGATTGTTATTGTGATTGTTGTTGTTGTTGTGGTTGTTATAAGAGTTGTTGTTGTTGTTGATGGGATTATCTCCGTTGAACTTTTTCCGCTTCCGGCAATCATGACTCTGACGTTTGGATTTCTCCATTTTGACCAGTACCAAACAAACGTCACCTACGATGAATAGAGGTTGCTCACGTGACGACAACAAATTATAATTAAAGATGAATTGAAATTTTATAAAAAAAAAAAACTCGAAATTTAACTTCAAATCAGAAACATAATACACTAAAATCTGAACGATTCACCGTCAAATTGATCAACAAAATTAAAATTAAAAACGTACTAAAATAAAATCTCAACTATTTAATTTTTTGTTCTTGTTTACCTATGGAAAGCTGATGGCAGTGTAGGCCATAGATGTCACGTGACATCGTCGGGTCACATGACGTCCAGAAATGTTTAGGAGAGAAAAACGGGTGACTGGTTCTGGCTTCAATTGCTACCTGATTGGACGTGCGAGTGAATGAACAAATGAATGAGCGAATGAATGAGTGAGTGAGTGAATGAATGAATGAATGAATGAATGAATGAACGAACGAATGAATGAATACGCCTAATTTCGAACTAACTAAATTCATTTGAAATGATTGAAACGGTAATGGAGCAATCATAAACAATTAGTCATCATCACCATCATCAACATCATCGTCATCATCGTCATCATCACAGATTGTCTTGCTGAGATAATTGTGTTGACATTTTAACGTTGTATACTTTCCCTCTGACAAGTTATATAAGTACATACACACACACATACATACATACATACATACATACATACATACACACACACACACATACATACATACATACATACATACATACACACATACATACATACATACATACATACACACATACATACATACATACATACATACATACATACACACACACATACATACATACATACATACATATAAACATACATACAAACATACATACACACATACATACATACATACATATAAATATTTAATGTACCGTTATAATGTCAGATCTTGAAATCGCCGTTTGAGCAATTTGTACATAAAAATTGATGACGACGACGAAGATGATGATGATGATGATGATTCTGGAGATGATGATGATGATGATTCTGGAGATAATGATGATGATGATGATGGGATAAAACAACAACGTCATCCATCTAATTTGAAGCATATTGAACTGTACTTATCAATGATTTGTTGTTGTCTTCTTCTGACAATAATATGATAATATAATATCGTCACATTAATAACAACAACAACAACCACCACAACATCAACAACAACCACAACAACAACCACAACAACAACTACAACAACAGCAACTACATCAACAACAACAATAAATAAGAGCAACCTCAAAACAGCCAAAACAACAAAGGCACTAAATTACAAAACTAAACATTCCGAGGTAATATGCGTAAGTGATAAATTATGATCTACTAATCATACACACACATACAATCACACATACATACAAAAATACTTACATACAAATATACATACATACATACAAACAAACATACATACAAATATATACACATAGATACAAACGCAGATAAAAACATAGATACATTCATTATTTTTTCGAAAACATTTTTTAACATGAGGTCAGAGGTGAGAATACTATGAAGAACAAAAGATCAGACACATGCTATTCATTCTTTCCATTAACAGGTGGATGAATGAATGAATGAATGAATGAATGAATGAATGAATGAATGAATGAATGAATGAATAAATGAATGAATAAATGAATGAATAAACAGATGTATAAATGAATAAATGAATGAATAAATGATTGAATGAATGAATGAATGAATGAATGAATGAATGAATGAATGAATGAATGAATGAATGAATGAATGAATGAAGTAACAAATAAATGGATATGTTTAATAAATAGATAGATTATCAAACAAACAAAATTAGCTACAATCACATACACACACACATATATATATACACAAACACACACACACACGCACATGCACACGCACACAAGCAAGCAAACAAACACACAAAGTGGGAAGTGTTTGTGTAAAAGGATAAAAATAATATCCTAATGTAATAATGGTGTGTATGTACTACTTGATGATTGATGGATGGCGCGATAAGGAAAGAATGAATGAAATGATAACGCATTTATGAGTTCAAATATTCATAATATGATGGATAGTATAGAGGATTGATGGATGAATTAACGAATGAACGAATGAATGAATGAATGAATGAATGAATGAATGAATGAATGAATGAATGAATGAATGAATGAACGAATGAATGAATGAACGAATGAATGAATGAATGAATGAACGAATGAATGAACGAATGAATGAATGAACGAATGAACGAATGAACGAATGAACGAATGGACGAATGAACGAATGAACGAATAAACGAATGAACGAATGAACGAATGAACGAATGAACGAATGAACGAACGAATGAATGAATGAATGAATGAATGAATGAATGAACGAACGAATGAATGAATGAATGAATGAATGAATGAATGAATGAATGAATGAATGAATGAACGAATGAATGAATGAACGAATGAACGAATGAACGAATGAACGAATGAATGAATGAACGAATGAATGAATGAACAATGAACGAACGAATGAATGAATGAATGAATGAATGAATGAATGAACGAATGAATGAATGAACGAATGAACGAATGAATGAACAAATTACAAATAAGACTAGTCGGTAGACAAAGGAACTGTTATAAAGTTAATAACCAAGAAATTTTGGTCCATCCAAATTCACCATCATCACCATCATCACCACCATCATCATTATCACCATCACCACCATCCCAATCATCATTATCATCATCATCATTACCTGATGTTGATCTTTACCAATGGAAAAACCCAAGACCACTCTATTGTTCACGTGGTCCTTGTTCATGTACAGAACTTTCCCGTAGTCTATTTTTAGATTTTTAACGCAATCATCACCATCATCATCACCATCATCACCATCATCATCACCATCATCATCATCACCATCATCATCACCACCATCACCATCATTTGAAATTTTGTCAGTTTTTGAATGTTTGACGTCGTTGTTAAAATTTGGGACATTATTACTATTATTGTTTTTGTCAATATGGTTATTGTTGTTATTATTATTGTTGTTATTATTATTGTTGTTATTATTGTTGTTTTTGTTGTTGTTATAAAATGGATGTTGCATAAAATCGTCAGTCTCTAGATCTTCGATACATTTACTCTTTCCGGAACCCAAAAACACTAAATTGCCCGTCTTAAAATGGTCATTTTCGGAGGGACAGCTGTCTCCGGTTGAAAAGCTACTTCCTGTTTTTAGCTTGTTGTTGTTGTTGGTGGTGGTGGTGGTTATTATTGTTGTCTTGCAAACAGGTGTTGAAATTAATTTAGTAGTTTCGGAGTTGTTGTTTGCTTTGCTGCTGTTAATGTTGATATTATTATTATTATTATTATTATTATTATTATTGGTGTTGTTGTTGTTGTTTGAGATGATTGCGTCGTTGTTGTTGTTGTTGGTTGTTGTAGTGGGTGAAGTTCTCTTAGTGTTGCTATCTTCGTCAGTTGTGAAGTGACGAAATATATGTTGCGATTTTTGTGGAATTTTTTTCGTTGTTGTTGTCGCTGTTGCTGTGGTTGTTGTTGTTAATGTTGTTGTTTTGATGTTACTAAACGTTTGTTGTTGTTGTTGATGTTGTTGTTGTTGCTGGTGAAATTGTAGAAATGGATTGTAGCAAAATCTGTTGAAACTTTTCAGTAATTGTTGTTGATGTTGTTGATGTTGCTGTTGATGTTGCTGTTGATGTTGCTGTTGATGTTGCTGTTGATGTTGCTGCTGCTGTGACAACGACGATGACGTCATACTAGAAGTTGACGACGACGACGAAGATGGCTTGGTATCAGTTGCGTTGGTTGAAAAAAAAGTTGATGACAAATTCTTTTGATGTTGTTGTTGCTGTTGATGTTGTTGTTGCTGTTGATGTTGATGTTGTTGTTGATGTTGGTTGAAAAAGTAGTTAGTTGCGTTTTGGTGGTTTACAAATGGGAAAGCATGCTTGCATGGGATCGATGCCGCATGGAGAGGATGATGATGTTGCGAAAAATAATTTTGTTGTTGTTGCTGTTGATGCTGTTGTTGTTGATGTTGTTGATGATGCTGCAAACTATTAACTAGCATTGGCGAATGTTGATCAACATTTTTGTTTTGATGTTGTTGTTGTTGTTGTTGTTGGGAGAGTCGATAGTGTTGTTGTTGGTATTGTTGTAACTTTTGATGTGGATGGAACTGCATTTTGTGTTGTTGTTGTTGTTGTTGTTGATGTTGTTGTTGTTTTTGTTGATGTTGTTGTTGATGTTGTTGTTGATGTTGTTGTTGATGTTGTTGTAGGAATGGCAGTTGTTGTTGTTTTATTCACGAGTCATCTCTTACAAATTACAAATTATTAAAATCTAAGTTTACAATTCTGTAAAAAAAAGTTCAGATTTGTAAAAAAATTAATTATTGTTACACTGCTACTACTACTTCTGCTATTACTACTGCTGCTACTGCTGCTACTACACTTACAACTACTACAACTACTTCTACCTCCAACAGAGAACAATGCGAAATTACTAATTAGTAATAATAAGCGGATAATTCAGCGCCTGAGAAACCAAAAGTTGATAGATGATGATTAGTTCGTTATCATTTTTCCGTAAGTATGTGTGTGTGTTTGTGTGTGTGTGTGTGCGTGTGCACGTGTGTGTGAGTTTCTATCTGTGAAAAGAATTTACGAAATAAAATAATAATAACAATATTTCTATAGCTAATTTTCCAGTAGATTTTTCCGCCTTATCATACGAAGTTCCAAAAATTCCTCGAATGAAACAATGAACAAATGAATGAATGAATGAATGATGAGTGAGTGATTGATTGAATGCAAAAAAGGAAGAAGAAATGGATGAATGATTGAATGAGTGAGTGGTGATTGAATTAGGGAAATTGTAAAGGAACGAATAGATGAATGAATACACGACTAAATTTTTGAGAAAATGAATGAATGAATGAATGAATGGATAAACGAATGAACAAACAACAAACGAACGGACGGACGAACGAGTGAACAATTGAATCATTAGCAACAAATTGAAATGAAAAAAAAGTCTCATCAATACACTATTTTATAAAATGTGCTTAAAACAGTTCATATAACCCCAAATATTATCATTAGTAGATCAACCTTTCTATTATTATGGCGTCATAATTAACTCTATTATAAACAAATGCCCTTAATTATTTATTAATAATTAAAAAATGAACGCAAAATATTCAACATACCCCTCTTCAAATCATCAGCCAACATAATCAACTTCACGCATTCAACTGCAGTTCCTTATAAACGAGGATAATAATAATAATAATAATAATAATAATAACAATAATAATAATAACAATAACAGTAATAACATAAAAATGTTATTACCAGCCAAAATGTAAAGATAAACTCAGTGCTGGATGATATATATCTACATGTGTATATATATATATATTCATAAATATATATATATATATTCATATATATATATATATATATATCTACTAGTATATATATATATACATTTATATATGTATATATATATATTTATTTATTATGTTATAATTTATAGCGCCAAGGAAAAGATGGTAATTTAAATGATAGATGGATGAATGGATGAACGAATGAGTGAATGAGTGAGTGAACGAGTGAACGAATGGATAGATGAACAGATGAATGAATGATTGACTAAATGATTGAAAGGGTGGACAAAGAAAATATTAAGTTATAATTGAACATTGTCTTGTATGTAGATAAGAAATTTGAAACATCTTCGTATAACTTGCACATAGATAGATAGACAGATAGAAAAATAGATTGATAGAGAGATAGGAACAGAGAGAGAGAAGGAGAGAGAGAGATAAAGAAAAAGAGAGCAAAAAATATTGATATAGAGAATGATAACCAAGAATAAGTGAGAAAGTTATTAGGAAAAGTGTCAGCCTATAGGAGCAAAGCAAGGCATCTTTCGATGATTTCATTGGTTTCATGAGCTGAAGTAGGAAGGGTTTATTTACTGCTCTAGCCAATGAGGTTTGAGATAGATTGCTGATTGATGTTTTTGTGGTTTGTGTAATATGTTGTAAAATTGTTACAATAGTTAATTATTACATAAAATATATTTACATGTGCATATCCATCCAAAATTGTATCGAATTGAGTAGAACAAGACTACTGTATTAGTCAGTAACAGTAGTAGTAGTATTTAAAATTTGTAGCAGCTACAACAGCCACAGCAGCCAGAGCAGTAGTAGCAGCAGAAGTAGTAGCAGTAGTAAAAGTAGTGGTAGTGGTGATAATGTAGTTGTTGATGTTGCTCTAGTGTATAAGTTGATGGAGGATATTACGACTTGACTGGCTGTTAATGGCTGTGGCAACTTTATGGCAGAATTTCAACAGGTTCATGCAGAAGAAAAAACAAATAATAAAAGTATTATTAATAAAAATAATAATTATGGTTAATAATAATAATAATAATCATTATTATTATTTATTATTATTCATATTATTAATGTACCAGCATTATGAAATAAATTTGCTCTCAATCACGTGCTAACTTAACTGTCTTGTAAACAAATTATGACGATGATGATGGTGATGATGGTGATGATGGTGATGATGGTGGTTATGATGATGATGATCGGGTTATAAAAAAGACAACATCAAATGTGTGTGTGTGTCCAAAAGCACCATCAAATCATTGCATTGTACAACAACAACTACTACAACATTAACAACAACAACAACATCAACAACATCAACAAAAACATCAACAACAACAACAACAACATATGTAACATGTAAAGAAACCACAACAACATATGATATATTATAACATAGCCAGACACTTACGATAGGAATCCATTGCAAGATGTCACATGTAAAACACACACACACACACACACACACACACACACACACACACACACACACGTATGTATACAAATAATAATAAAATAAACATATATATATGCATAAAACAGCCATAATTTTTATTTTTATGAGATGAATGGATGAGTTGGAAAAACGATAAAAAATGAATGAATGAATGAATGAATGAATGAATGAATGAATGAACGAATGAACGAATGAACGAATGAACGAATTAATGAATGAATGAATGAATGAATGAATGAATGAATGAATGAACGAATGAACGAATGAACGAATGAACGAATTAATGAATGAATGAATGAATGAATGAATGAATGAATGAATGAATGAATGAATGAATGAATGAATGAATGAATGAATGAATGAACGAACGAACAAACGAGCGAACGGGCGAACGAACAAACGAACAAACGAATGAATGAATAATAATATCTTTACCCAACACCACACAAGATAATAAATGACTTAGATAAAGCAGATATTAATATTTTTAAACAGAAGAAACTCATCATAATAAATTATCAGCTCGCATACATTCAATGAGAGAGAGAGAGAGAGAGAGAGAGAAAGAGAGAAAGAGAAAGAGAGAGGGAGAGAAGAGGAATACAGGCAACCGTACACACAATGCAACTAAATATTATGCACATAATTTTTCCTAACAACATATTATGACAGGCGTTTTGAGGTGCTGATTGAAAAATGTTACACTTCCCACAAAGAAAAAAACACGTACGTTAACGCGTGCACACACACACACACACACACACACGTGCACACACACACACATACACATGTAAACACACACAGACACAAGCGCCGGTATGTCTATGAGAAGGGAAGGAGAGCACACTGATAAATCTGCTAATAGTGTCGATAGATTGCGAAAATTCATTTTTATGGTGAAGGTGTTCCTCCTGGTAATGATGCTGTTGTTGTTGAGGATGATGACGATGACGATGATGATGATGTTGCTGATGATGGTGATGTTGGTGACATTTTTCTCTCCACAAACTTACTTTTCCGTTTCATATTTTTCTAAGATTGCTACTCTCACTACCACCAAACCACTGTAGCTGCTGCTGCTACTACTACTACTACTGCTACTACTTTTGCCGCTACTACTACTGCTGCTGCTGCTTCGAAAACTTCAACTACTACTCTAACTTTTTGTTGAATCAAAATATCCTGTCATAAGAAGAGCAGCGAACAATTGATAAATAGACACGAATGAGGGAGAGATAGAGATGAAGATAGGACGGATGAGATGGAGAAATTACTTGAAAATTGATGGGGCGGTAACCGGAAGTAAGAACAGGAGGAGAGAACGTGAGGAAGAGGATGAAGATGATGAAGTGAGTGGGGAGGAAGAAGAAGATGTTGATGGAGTGAGTGAGGGAGAAGAAGAAGATGATGATTGAGTGAGTAGTAGAAAGAGTGGTAGTTAAAAAGAGGATGACAGCAGTGAGAGATGAATGAATTAGGAGGAGGTTTTGTTAAATAAGTAATAATAATAATAATAATATTAAGTTACTTCTTATCGTTTCAAAATATTTCATTCATAATTTATTCCAATTAAATATTATTATTATTTTATTGTTATTATTATCATCATCATCTTCTTCATCGTCGTCAGCCATTTTGAAATATGAAATGATGGTAACTAAGGCAGCGCCACACAAGCGTACAATACCGCTCAGCCATGCGCAGAACGCCGACCGGAAATAGATGCTTCGCTCGACCGGAAACGGAAGTAACAACGAAAACTGACCAAATGATACTAAATATAAGTGCATATGTATGTGTGTGAGTGCGTGCGTGTGTGTGTGTATGTTTATGAACGGTGGAAGATATATAGATGGATGGATTGCTTGTTTGTTGGGCTTGTTAAATGGTTCAGTGGCTATTTTATCGATGCTGCTATCTTCATCTTCCTCCTCCTCCTCCTCCTCCTCCTCATCATCATCATCATCATCATCTCTTTCATCGGTATCATTATCATAATTTCCATCTTCATATTTATCAACATCGTCATCATTGTTAGTCTTGTTAAAATTTTCATTTTAAAATTTTTGAGATTTTAAAAAATTTTCATAAACCTCATCGCCATAATCGTCGCTGGTATAGCCACCAGCAGCTGCAATACCGATAGCATCATCATCATCACCACCATCACAGCAATCATCATCACCACCATCACAATCATCATCAGCAGCAACGCTAGCAATTTAAAGACAGTTGATCCGTCTCGACCTCCCTGAAAACCTATTAAGCTTGAAATTGAGATGAAACTCCCTCCCTCCCTCTCTCTCTCTCTCTCTCACTTTCTCTCTTTCTTTCTTTCTTTTTTCTGTCTATTACATAGAGAAAGAAAAAAAGAAAAAAAGAAAGAAAGAGGGAGAGAGAGAGAGAGAGAGAAAGTTACGTTATGATGAATCGCACGTAGGTGTAAAACGTGAAGAGAGGAAAAAATTTATTATCGTATAAGAAAATTATTTGTATGTTTGTGTGTGTGTATGTTTGTGTGTGTATGTGTGTGTGTGCGTGTGTGTGTGTGTATGTTTGTGTGTGCATGTGTGTGTGTGTGCTGTGTGCGCGCGTGTGTGTGTGTGTAGAGTCCTTAGCAACAGCATCATTGTTGCTTAGCAACCAATAATCGATCGATAAAACATAATAGTATTGTATGTTGTTTGTTTGTTTGTATGTTGTTTGTATGTTGTTTGTTTGTTTGTTGTTTTTCGTTTATATAGAGCTGTGTTTTTGTTTAAATTTGTTAATTTGATTGTTTATGGCATCGGAATTTTGTATATTTTGTTGTTTTTGAATTAATAAACTTGAATATTAAAATTAATTTTGAATATAATTAAAAATATAATAGTAAAAGTTTTCAATTATATGAAATAAGTTTAAGATGACGAAGTTGTGCATCTGTAAGATATGTACG